TGGCTGTGCTGCTTTCCTTGAGCAGCTCTTACCTTGGCCGTGTCCATCCTTGGCGGTTCAGGGAAGACAAAAAGCTCCCACATTCCTAGCCTTGATCTTTCCAAGTTGCTCAGCATTCCTGCCCTGGTGCCACGTGCAGTGGGGCGATGTGTAGGGCTGGTGCCAGGTTTCTGCAGGTCTGTCCTTGTGATGAGACACCTGCAGAGCCCTGTGGCAATGTCCCAAGGAGCGATGTGGCCCTGGGGAATGGATCCCTGCATGGCCAACCCTCAGAACCCCTCTCTCCTCCTACCTGAGCTTCCCCTAGTCCTGTCACCCCTGTGGCTGGCTGTCTCAGCCTGGTCTGTGTGCCTCTGCACGTCTCTGTGCTGCCTGGTGGCATCTCGAGCCTTTAGGCCACGGTGAGTGTGCCCCTAGAAGAAGACATTGGGAATCACAGAATCACAGAATTGTAGGCTCTAAATGACATTGGAGCCTACACCAGCTGCAGTGATTTTCCTGCTCGGCAAGAAGGCTGGCTCCGAAACCAAGCAGCAAGTAAACTTCACCTGGGTTCATTTCCTAAGCTGTTTCCCAGGCAGTGATTCTCTTTTCAGTGAAGTGCCTTTTGCACCTTTTTGTAGCTTCCTTAAGGATCGTGGTTAAACTGAGCAGTGGCCCCTTCCCAGCTTTTCTACTTCTGGGTGCTTGCAAGGGCTCCTATCCATCATGGCAGTGGCCTGCAGCTCCCTCATGGCCCTACATCCCTGTCATGGCAACCTGAAGCTCCCTCATGGTAGAGTTGACGTGACCAGTGTGGAACTGTACAATTTAAAGTGCAGTTTGCCAAATGCAGATGGAATCCACCTTTTCCTCCCACCCCCCAAAACAGCTGCTGTCCTCTCTTCCAAGCTCCTCATCCCCTGCTGTGTTGTTGGGTCCTGGGGAGCAATCTCACTGGGTTTCTGCTGTCGGGCTGATTGCCGTGACAGCCCATTGAATACCACAGATAGTTCCTTCCCTTTTGACTGGGTGCCTTTGCTGCAGGGAGATGCCATGCTGGCAGCTGCACACAGATGGGGTCGGATCGGTATCCTGCCCTCCCCCACTCCTTCTCATAAGGGTGGGGAGGACATTTTGCATTTGAAACTCTGATTGCTGTCATCGTGCATCTGTGTCGTGAGAGGAGTGGGGCTTAAAGATAGGATTGTGTTGGCAGGGCTGTGGCATGGGGAGTTTGGCCACCATTTGGTTTGCTCCATGAAGTTCTGGTTCGTGAAAGGCCACCGCAGGAAGCTCAGAGTTTCCACTCAACCCACAGCCCAGCTGAGACCACACTTTCATCCTCAGCATGGTGTCAATGCTCTCTGCATCTTCTTCCCTCCAGCAGGGTTGGAGATGGAGACGTGGGTGACCACCTGGTGACCATCCCGGGTGGGTAAGGGACATTCACCGACCATCCCTCCCTGTGCTGACACTCGTGTGGCCTGCAGGGACAGGCTGCAGCCATCCCAGCCATGCGTGACCCTTCGGAGGCTCTTCAGCAGGAAAGAGGTTAACAGGAAGGAGGCAGGCGAGGAGCTGGCTGCCAGCTCCAGACCCCGCTTTGGGGTGGGGAGCAGCTGGGAGCTGCATGCACAGCGCAAGAATCGCCTTATAAGGCCAGGACAAGCCAGCTCCAGCCTCCCACTCCGCTCCGGCACTCGCTCCCCAGGCAGGCGCCCACTGGGGATGGGGATGTGGAGGGGATGTGTGGTCCCCAGCACTCTGCCTGGGTGCCTGCGGGGTCGGTGCATGGCACCGGGTGGATGAGGAGCCCGGGGGTGCTCACAGCCGGCTCATTGCCTTGCTCTGTGTTTAGACTCGCTGTCGGTGGACGTAAACACCGGTTCCATAGAGAAGTGGCCCCTGGCTGAACTCTCCTGCCCTATCCCTGTGCTGTGCCCCCTCCCCAAACTGCTCCAGGGTGGGGGGGAGGAAGAAAATTCTTTCCGCCGGGTGAAAGCAGAGCTGAAATTGTTGTATCTCTGAAAGTGTTGTACAGGGGCCTGGTGCGCAGGGACACGCGTGCACAAGGCGTGCACATTCATCCTCTGAGCTTTGAGCATGTTCCTTGAGGGGGGGACCTCAGGGGTCTGAGCCTGCTGAGGTTTCTCAGCAGTTTCTATGAGCAGTATCTGCCCATATGGGCAGGCTGCAGGTGAGAAAGGTGTGTATTGGTGGCTGAAAGCAGATACCTGCCCACCTGCTGGTGGCTGGGAGCTGCAGAGGATGGGCAGGAGGGAGAGCACAACCTTTGCTCTTTTGACAGATGGCTGCTCCCATGCATCCTGTGCAGTGCTTGGAGAGGTCATTTTCATCTGCCTTGGTGTAAATCCAGGATTCTCTGCCTGCTAGATGATCTATAAGTGTAATAAAATCCTCCCGCAGCAGAACTCTGCTTGCATTGTGGCCACATTGATAGCATTCTGTGCAGGAAGCATGCGATGCTTTGTGCCTTGCTCCATCCCACACCGTGTCCTGCTCACTTCCCACCCTGAGCATGGGGCTGAGCACCAGGGACAGGCAATGCTTTTAGCAGCTCCCTTTGCAGAGCACTTAAGAGCGCTGTGGATGAGCAGCCTGCTCTTCGGCAGCCACCCTCATGAATATTTTAGCTCAGAGAATTAACATTTGTCAAGAAGCATTTATGGAGGCAGCCTGGATGCGCTTCCTCAGGCGTGCCCAACTCACTGCTAATCTGGGGCAGTGCTGGGAGCCTGAGCAGGGCAAACCCACACCAGAGCCCTTCCTGTGCCACACTGGGGCCAGACAGAGGAGCAGGACCGTGGGGAGCAATCAGCCCCCATCTTCCCTCCGGGCCGGCCAGACCCTGGTGCCAAGGCAACCAGCCTGCCATGCAAGATAGACAAATGGTAGTTTTTTTTGTTCTTTTTTTTTTTTCGTTCTTTCTTTCTTTTTTTTTTTCTTTTTTTTCCCCTCCTGGTTCTTGGCAGAAAGTAAAATGTCTCTTTTGTTTGGTTTCCTCCTCCCCCTGCCCCATCGCCTTTCTTTAAAGGTTATGTTCCAGATTTCACCAAGTTGACGTTGTGTAACAGCCTGGGAGCATGGCGTGGGCACGGGCGCTGTGCCCCCAAGGCTGGGATTTCTTCTGCAGGGCTCCTAAGGGGCTTCTGCTCCCTCTTTCTCTCCTTTCTGTTCTGTTCCCCTCCATATTCATTCCTCACACACCATGGGAAGGAGGTAGAGTGTGCGGTGCACAAGTTTGCCGTGCTGGGGTGCTGGGGCTGGGCATGGTCTGGCTCTGAGCATCACCAGTTCCAGTGGATACATGAGCAGAGTGCAAAGCCTCTTGGGTTTGCTCCCCATAGCACAGAATTTGGGGCTTCCTTTCGGATGCTCCCCGGGTACTGCAGCAGAGCTCTGTCTTTGCCCAAGGGGCCACGTCCTCACTGTGCTCTTGGTGCCATTTGCTTTGGTGCATGCTTCCACCTTGCAGCATTTGCATCTCGCTTGGTTTCAAAGTGCCTGCGTCAGCAGCAAAGAAGGAAATAAACAGATGTAAAGGGATTTAAATCCCAAGCGAGCCAGGCTGCTTGTCTGTCAGGTTCCATCTCCTGCCCAGAGCTATGAGGTGCAGGGGTGCCTCCTAGAGCCATCCCAGCCCCTTTTCCCCCCTGTCCTGGCTGTGTTCCCTGTGCATAAAGGCTGTGGGTGGGGAAGGGGTTGGACCCATGCGGCCATGCAGAGTTCATGGTCCTGGAGGCCTTGGCACAGCTGAAGGCAAGGGAGACAAAAACGTTTCTAAGACTCCACTTGGAGCTGGGAGAAAGTTTTTCCGTAGGGTTTTTATAGCTACCGGAAAGCAGGGTTTTATTTTTGTTGTCTAAGACAAAAAATCCTCTTAGGAGTTGACTTCCCGTGGCAGTGAGCAGGGGGGGCTGAGCTGGAGACCTTCTGGGCTGTGCTTGGCTTTTCTTCCCCTTCCCCCTGCAGGATTTCTGGATGCTGATGTTGGTTTTCACAACCAAAAATAAGAGGTTTTGATGTCCCTGATGTAAGGTTGGTCCCATTGACGTGCGGCATGGGGGCACCAGCACCTCAGCTCCCTGTGTGGGGTGCTCACACTCCCTCCTTGACCCATTTGGGGGCACAGCCATGGGGAAAGCTCCTGGTGAAACTGGGATGTTTCCCATATCTGCATATGGATAAGCTGGGGTAGGGGTCTCAGTGAGACCAGCTGAATTTTCTGGGTTGTAGGATGGGGCTTTTGCAGCTCTCCCTGGTCACCTCTTCTTTGCACGCTGCTCTTGGATGTGATTTGCTGGAGCCTGTTTCCATGGTAAAAATGTTACCAGCATCTGCCAAAAACTCATCTCCCTGTTGGCCTGGCCATCTGGAAGACGAGAGGGGGCTTTGCTGGGGCACAGAGGTGGTCGTGGGCCGTGTGGGGTGCTCCTTTGGTGCTATGTGTGCAGAGGGGTCCCTCTGCCCAATTCATCTGGGGCTCATGCTGGCCTGCAAAGAGCTGCCATGGTGAGGGGGACCCCTGTGTCACCATATCTGGCAGCAGGGCACAGCAGCTGGGGATGGGGACAGCAGGGATGAGGCATTGCCATTGTAAATCGGATGAACTGGTGCTGCTCCAGATGGACCTGTCAGCTCTTGTCAGCAGTGACACTGATCTAAGTCCCTCTGTGTCCCCTTGGGCTGGGGAGGCCACCACTCATCTTGCTTAACTGCATCCCTTTAGGGCAGGGCGACCAGGAGGTGACACCGTGCTTTCCGAACCTATCAGATAAATGAGGTCCCCTCCATGCCTTGACCCTTTAGAGCATCCCAGTGGCTGCCTGGGAGAGATGTTCCCAATCTCCACGTTTCACTAACTTCAGTGGGCAGAGCTCTGCTTGTGGACAGAGCACTGGGTGTGTAGAATCCTGGTGTCCACCTGGAGAGGTTTAAAGCACTGTGCCCATCTGCTCCTGTCTTCTCACGTATCCCCTTTTTCCTTCCCCTTGCAGCCGACGACGCTCCCACAGGGCACCATCAACATGAACCAGTGCACGGATGTGGTGGACGGGGAGAGCCGCACAGGGCAGAAATTCTCCTTATGCATCCTAACGCCAGAGAAAGAGCACTTCATCCGGGCTGAGAACAAGGAGATCATCAGCGGGTGAGTGCAGGCAGACCAGGGCTGGCTGTCAGTGCTGCCTGGCACTCAGCTCTCCTCTTCTCCTCCTTTTTGGCAAGGTTGGCTTTTCTTTCCCCTTCCTGCTCCCTGGCCTGGTGGATCCCTTCTACCTGCAGCAGGGCAGGAGTGCTAGCAAGCCCTGAGCCACCAGATTCATGGGGTTAGCATGAGCAGCAGCTTGAGTGGATGATTTGAGTCCGTCCTTTGTGCTGTGCCACGAGGCTTTCCAACATCTGTACACCTTGCAGTGCCAGAGACTGAGGAGGTTCAGCTACTGCAGGGAGCTTCAGATCCTAGAGCTCCCAAGCTGCTCATTACTTCTCAAGGCCATCATTCCTAGGTCACTTTAGACCACTTAACATGAGCATATGGCAGTAGATTCTCCAACTCCCCAAGTGCCAGATGCTGATCTAGAAGCATCCCCTGACATCTTCTTCCTGATCTGTCCGGAGGCATGGTACCTCCTCTATGCTTCCTAGCCTGGCACCAACAGAGCTGGTGCATCCCATTGGAACAGTTTCTATTTCCAAGCAGTTTCCTTGGTTGTAACTCCCCCGTTTTAGTAAGCGGTGGTTGAAATAGGCATTTCTCTGGCAAGAACTTGGGCTTCTGCTCAGATGAGTGTTGTCATGGGACAAAAGTTCCCTACTCCACTGAGACCAGTGAGTGTGAGTGACATCAGAGGGGGGCTGGCAGGGTGGATGCAATGATTATACCCCAAAGTATGGTCCCTCGTGCCCTGCTGCGTTCTTCTTCTCCCCACGCTCCCATCCACAGCTCAGCCTTTGTTCCTGTCCTGCCAGCAGCACGAGGGAGCAGCATTGCAGAGCAAGGTGGGGCTGATTTATTGCTCATTGGCCCGGCGTTAGATTTGAAGCAGCGCGTTTGCTCCTGACTGCAAGCATTAATCATCCCCAAGCAGTCCCGCTCTGGGCCCAAGCCAAGCGGGTTTCATTTGCAGTTGCAGCACGACAGGAAGATTTCCCCGGCTTGGGGAGAATTTGTTTTACGTTTGTTGCATGCTTCTGGCATTTATTGCTTAACCAAAACCCACTTGATGTGGTCATCTCAAAGCGCTTTACAGCTGCAGCGTGCGAAGTGGGGGAACAGGAGGGCAAAGCACGGAAGTCTGAAGCACAAGCATTTTCCAGCACTGCAGATCCTCTCTGAGCTCCCCGAGTTGCAGGAGTGGCTGTGGGAGAGCCAGAGAGGGTGCCCTGAGTGAGAGGCTCACGCGCGGGATGGGTTTCACAGTGCTGAGTTCATGCTGCTCTTTCTCAGACAAAAGTGCATTGTGTGCAGTGTGCTGCTGTTAGCAGCTCTGGAGGGAGAAGGCCCTCTGGTAGCTCCGGAGCTCTCGGCTGGCTTTCAGGATCCTTGAATCCCTGCCCTGTGCCACCCTCGGCCGTGAACTCTCTCTTGCAGTGAGTGGTGTTGAGCCAAGGCAGCCTGGAGCTGTTCCCTGTCCTTTCTGCCCTCCTGCCTTGCTCTGTGAGTTGCTTTTCTCCCAAGTCTGGGATGGTTGCTGGGTATCGTGGGACCCCAGACCAGCTCAAAGGGATGAGTTCCTCTGCATGTTGAGCTCCAGCTCAGGATAATACTGACAGCCCGACTACCAGCCTCTGGGTGTGGGGGTTTGGGATGGGGGCTGCGGCTCCCTGGCTCTATCTCTGGAGGAATCAAAGGGCTGGTTTATGGGCAGCCTGTCCTGCAGCGCATCAGGATGTGTCTGCCTGGTGATGAGATCAGAGCCCCCGCAGTGCAGGAGTACTGTCTTACTCCCCACACCTGCTCAAATGAGTGTTGCCCCCACACCTGGGAGCGAGTATTGCTTCTGTCCTGCCTGCTGTTGTCAGCGCACATCTCACCTGCTGCTCTTCTTTGCCCACAGGTGGCTGGAGATGCTGATAGTCTACCCAAGGACGAACAAGCAGAACCAGAAGAAGAAGAGGAAGGTAGAGCCTCCAACTCCACAGGTAACCCTGGAGGGGCACAGCGTCCCGGTCCCTTGACTCCCTCTTGGGGAGCACTGCTCCCAGCACACATCCCTCCCCAAACCAGCAGGGCACACTCGGTCTCCTGGCACCAGCCCTGCACGTGCTGTCCCAAAGCTTTGTGGTCCCAGGGGCCCGGGAAGAGGTGCTGACCACTCGAGGGGCCGTTTTGGTAGAAGTAGGATGAAATTCCATCAGGCTCCAGTTACCCTGTCGGAGATGACCTTGAAGATAATGGAAATGAAAGGAAAATAGTAAAGGCCAGGGCTGAGCTGGGAGCTCCGGGGGCCGGAGCTGCACTCCCCGGGGACCCGGCGATGGCTTCGCACTGGCTTTGACTATAAATGGTAAAAACCGGGGCCGGCCGTGACTCACTCGTTCCTGCCAAGCTCCCACGTGGCCGGAGTGGGGGAGAATCCCACTGATGGGGAATGTGACCCCAAGGCTGCGCTTGTCCTTTGCTGGGGCTGAGAACTGCCGCAGCTCTGCGGCCATCTGACCTCCGCAGGGACTGAGTGCTGGGCTCCTCTATGGGGCTGCTGCTGTCAGGAAGGGAAAACCACCTTGGGGCTCCCCTGAGCCCCAGTTTTCTGGTCCCCAGCACAGTGATGTCTCCACGCAAAGCTGTGCGTAGTGTCTATTTGAATCAGGTTTCTGCCACTCCAGGTCAAGTTACCTTAATCAGTAGGAACAGAAATAATGAGATAAAATGATGCTTTTTCTGCACTGTGCTGGAAGACTGAGGCACTCCTGCCAAGGGATGGGATCATCACAGCCCCTTGAGCATTGGCTCCAATGATGCTGCAGGGGATGTATCTCCTCTGTGGCATGTTACAAGTTGTTTGGCCTCAATCCTGCTGCATGTGGGGCAACCCAGTGAGCTGGTACAGCAGGGCAGGGAGCCCAACCCAGCACTTAACCCAGGCTGGGTTCAGGAAAGGGGACAGAGAGAGGAGGAGAAAGGGGCAAGGAGCCAGAAAAACATCATTCTGGGTTGCATTTTATCGCCATGGCAACTTCTTGGAAACAATACAGGATTCGAGCTCCTGAGCACCAAATAAGGGAAGCGGCTGTGGGGAGGACAGCAACTCCCCATGCATGCAGCCTGACTCCCCGTGTGCTTGGGGATGGGGTGAGCATGGAGCCTGGTGACACTTCTCCCACATTGGATTGAGGCACAGCATCTCTCAGCCTTGTGGGATGCCATCCTCCAAACCTCATCCTGCTTGCAGCTCTCTTTCCACCCTCTCCAGAGCATCCCATTGCTCTCAGCCCTGCGACAGCAGTGGTGCTACTGGAAAAAAAGCTCAAATTCACTTTACAGATCTAACCTCTGTGTGGGACCTGGCGCTGGATGGGTGCTTTGCAGTTGCAGGTGCTCGTGGTCAATCTGCAGAGCCGGAAGGGAAATGTGGAAGCACCTTTGCTTCATCCCCCGAATTGTGCCGACGCAGGCAGCAAATCAGTGCCAGGGAGAAAACCAGCACCAAATCCCCCTCTGTGAAATGGCTTCTCCTGAAGTTGGCTGCTGTTCAGCTCTCTCTCCGTGTGCTGGGGAAAGGCTGATTCTGTTCTAAAGACGGCAGCACGCTAATCCGGCGGTGGATCATGTCTGAGAGCTGCTGAGGGATTGATGGACACCTTTGTGATTTAACAACAACAAAAAAAGAGAAGATGTTTAGGCTATTCCTGCCTGTTCTTACTCCCATGCCATTTTCCTTCTCCCTCTTACATCAGGGCTTGGCTGTGCTCCTGGGGCACGAGGCTCATTTTCAGCTCGCCCCATTGTTTTGCACCTTCACCCTGCTGAATGCTGGGATGGGAGCAACACGAGGGAAGCTGGGAAGCTGGGAAGTGAGGCTTGTGCCAACTGCTGCAGTTTGGGCAGGGGTTGCTAGATGCAATGCTGGACTTGTTGTCATCTTTACTTTGCAATCAGCTTGAGGTCTTAGGAGAAATAGATCATGTTTCTCTTTGACTGTTGGCCATGCAGGGGGAGGAGGAGCATGCTGCCCTGTCTGCTCTCAGCTCCTGGGAAACTGAGGCATGATCTGGGGCTGAAATCTGGGATTGGATGTGCTGCCCTCTTTTTCGGGTTTGCTTTGCATCAGGCTGCGTGAGATGTGTGTAAGGACAGCATGTTGTGGTGTTACTGCAACAGGAGATTGCTTCTAATGATGTTGAGACACGCTCCTTTTTTGAGCCATTGGTTCTGGAAGACAAGGAGTTAATTGTGCTGCTTGTTTACAGAGCGCCTTTTGGCCCTCGTTTCTGTGTCTAATTAAATACATATCTACAAATAATTATACGGGGGCGTGTGTGAGAAGTATATAAAGATATATGTCTAACGATCAGCTTTGGCTTTTGAATCAATGGACAGAGCATGGCTAAGGCTGGAAGGACCATGGCAATGTCCGACCCCTCCAAGCAGCAGCACCTCCAGCGAGTTGTTGCCCTCCGGATCATTTACCTCCAACACTGCATTCCTTTAGGATGAAATTTCCGAGGGGACTTTTTTCCATACTGAGGTCATTTGCTGATACGACAAGAGCAAAACATCTGCTGAGGAACAGAGCCAAACCCCACATGAGCTGGGAAAGCTGCTGTGCATCTCACCAGGGCTGCTATGGGGAGCCACTGGCACCATCTAATGTACAGAGCCCCTTGCTTTTATCCTATGGGTGTTGTTCTGGAGTAACCTCAGTGCAATACTGTATTTTCCTTTCTAAAAGCAGCATCCTGCTATGCAGTGGAAGCACCCAGGAGGGACACGGTGCTGGATGGTTTTTCTATTTTGTATCAATGGCCCATAACAAACTGGTTGTGACAAATTAAGAACGCAGCTGCTAGTGGCAGGGAATTAATTTTCTTCTACATCCAATATCCTTTCACTTGATTTCTGGGTTGCTGTTTCTTTTTTTTCTGATGTTACATTATGACAGTGAGCAAATTCATTCCTGGCACGTGGACCTGGCACTGCTCCGTGTTTGTGAAGCCTGCAGACTGAGCGGGGACACCCAAATGCACACACAGAGGGACATGGGGAAGGCTGTGCCGCCTTTGCTTTGGTTACCAAGGCTGCACTGCTCCCCAAAACTGCTGTAGTAGAAATGCTAAGTCAGGGCCTGAAACAGTGATTGAGCACCTGCCGGGAAGGCAGGGCCAGCCCAAGGGAGCTCAGCTGTGTACAATGCATCTGAGTGACCAGAAGGGTTGGAGCCAGGATCTCCCTCTCCCCAGACCTCATTTAAGGGCTGACAGTAGAGGTAAGGGTATCTCTTGCTAGATATCCCTGCCTACTTGAGGCCTTACAAGAGAAAGCAGCTTTTTTTCCTTTGTTTCTGTCCATGGCTGCTGCATTTGGGCTTACCTTCACTTGCTGTGGCCTGCTCTACATAGCTGTGCTTTCTGTTGTGTTATTGTGTTACCACTGTAAATGTGCAGGGAAGGTGCAAGGCTTCTCTGGGCACAGAGCCCCTCTCACCCACTGTTCCCTGTCCCCATCAGGAGCCTGGCCCTGCGAAGATGGCTGTGACCAGCAGCAACATCCCCAGTGCTGAGAAGGTCCCCACCACCAAGTCTACATTGTGGCAGGAGGAAATGAGGGGCAAAGAGCCAGCAGACACGAGCAGCAGCATCAGCCCAGCACAGAGCCCGGTGCAGGGGGCTGCCAGTTCCCTGAAGGATCCCATATTGGACAGCAAGGAAGGTAAGGTGATGCCACGTGGCCCCGGGCACCGTACCCTGGTGTTCCTGCTTGAGCAGGAGTTAGGACAGGTGGACCCTGAGGTCTCTGCCAACCTCAGCTGTGTGATTCTGTCATTCTGAGAAGGAGGTCGTGTCTCATCAGCACAAACTTGCTCAGTAAGACTAAGCTTATAAGTTAAAATGCTTACACAGGGCTCCTGGGGGCCACCTGTTCTCACATGGGGAGGAAAATGGGAGGGGGAATGCTTTCATAGCACCTCTGTGGCCCCCTGAGGCAGCCCATAGGGTGTGGGGGCTGCCAAGCCCTGAGTGCTGCTTCCTCATCCGGCCCCTGCAGCAGGGCCCTGTTTATATTTGGTCTCCCTGATTAGTCCATGGAAGGCGCCTGGGGCCACAGTATTGTTCTCCCTGAAACAATAGGGGCTGGGGATTTTTCCTGCCCTGGGCTGAGGATAAGTTTCCTTTATCTGCATGATGGGAGCAGAATAGAGCTGCTTTCTTCCTGCTCCCAGTGCAAAGAGTGATGCATCTGTTGTGTTTCCTTGGAGCTGTGGCTGCTGCTTGGAGGGACAGAGGTGGGAATGGGTGGAGGCTTTCACACTATGCTTCCCCCTGAAAAAAGAGAAGCTTCCTTGCTCATATAAAGCCTACTCAGTTTCTTTGAAACAAAAAACAAGCAGAAGTGAAAAGTGCTAGAATTCACACCTTTCCTATGCTTTTTAATGGGAGAGACTGTGAATGTTCATGTTGTCCCCACCTGGGAATAACGTCTGTGCCACCCCACACCTCACTGGGATTCTGTAAGGTATCTCGTGCCCCCAGGATTGCCAGCTCCCTACAAGCATCTCCCCTTCTGCACAGGCTAGAAAGGTTGGGATTGGAGTCAGGGTGGGAGAGCCTGTGATGCTGAGGGACTCAGACTGTCCCTGCTCTCATTTCCTGCACCGTTTCTGCTTGGAATCGTGACGTTTTTTTTTGTTAAAAGCAAAACTCAGACTTGAAACCGAATGTGTTTTTCTTGTCCCTTAGACGAGAGCTCCATGAATGGGGACCGGATAGACTGTGGGCGGAAGACTCGTGTTGAGAGCGGCTACTTCTCCTTGGAGAAGACCAAGCAAGACTCGAAGCTGGAAGAGCAGCAGCTGCCTCCACCACCGAGCCCACCCAGCCCCAGCACCCCAAACAACAGGTACAGTTATCCCAAATCGCCCTCACAGGAGCATGCCCAGCCCTTTCCTTCCCCAGGTACCCGATCAGGCGACCGAGTGATTCACAGCTTTTCTCTGAACTCCTTGGACTCGAAGAGCAGTTGCCCCATGCACAAGGACTCCAGCAGAGATGTAGGAAAGGGAGCTGAAAAATCGGGGCGTCCCCTTTCTTTTAAAGCCAGCCGGCAGTACACAACCCTGGCCGACGTTCCCAAGGCCGTTAGGATCAGTAATCGTGAGGCCTTCCAGGTGGAGAGGAAGCGGCTGGAGCGGAGAACCCGGGCACGTAGCCCTGGGAGAGAAGAAGTGGCCCGGCTGTTTGGCAATGAGAGAAGGTAAGGGATGAGTGGTTCACCTCCCTCTTGCATGCTTGCAGCATCAGTGAGGTTTGGGGTCGCCCTCCCCGGTGCAGCCCTGGATGGGAGGTATTGGCAGGCTGTGTTGTGAATCATAGAGCCGTGGAAGGGTTGCGTTGGAAGGGACCTCAAAGTCCATACAGTTCCAACCCCTGCTGTGGGCTGGCTGCCCAGGGCCCATCCATGGCCTCAGGCACCTGCAGGGATGGGGCAGCCGCCACTCAGCAGCGGTGCCAGCACCTCACCACCCTCTGAGTAAAAAATTCCCTCCTAACATCTAACCTAAATCGCTCCTCTTTTACTTTGGCCCCTTTGCATTGCAGCAGTTGTGGATTTTGGGGCAACCACGTTGTCCATGCACACCATCCAGGCAATATGGTGGCCTTAGCAGTGGATGTCAGCCTTGTGACATTTGGATGCCGCATTTGCAAGCAAGCCCACCCTCCCTGTCCCCTCCCCAGCGCGGCACACGTGGGCAGCTGGCACTGTTAATTAGGTTAGCTCTCTAAATGGTGCTAGAGCCGGGTGCGTTATGCAACTGCTTAATGAGCTGAGAGAGGTTTCAAAATGTCGTGGCATTAATCTGGGAGAAGAGAGTCGGGTGCAGGGCTGCAAACAAGCTTAGTGCAGAGGAGGTGAAGAGGGCATCTGCAGGCATGCTCAGCAGTCATTGGGTGAGGTGAAGGATGTGTTAGTGCAGCGAGGGCAGCAGAGCAAACCGGGAGATGGGCCCCGGGCGAGAGGACTATCTGCCAGTCTGATTTTCTCGCCTTGATTTTCCTCTGGGCATGTTCTCTCTAGTGTGATTTCAGCAGCGCTGCTGGTTCGTTTCTTCACAGCCCCTAAAGGACTGTTTTCCAGCCTGGCATCTGAGAGCTGGGAGCAGGTGTGGGAGCTTTGTGCCCATGCTGTGGGTTGGCAGCAGGATCCTGCCTCTCCTGATCCCATCCTGGCACTGGCAGCATGCAAAGGTTGGGGCAGAGGAGCAGGGCATGGGATTGGGTTTCTCCCTGCCTTGAGAGTTCAGAGGGGAAGGGTGCCAGGCAGGACCCCTGGTCACCCCAGCTGGGGACAGGGCTGATAAGCTCAACTTGTAGTGTATTAGTTCAGGTATGGGTGACATTGTGTCCCTATGTGGTTGCTTGCATGGTCCCCAGTGCTGACAGTCTCTTGCTCCAGCCCCCATGGGCACTGTGCAGTTTTGGGATCTGGCATGCCAAAAGGAAACTGGGATCTGCCAACAGGACAGAGAAGGCAGAGGTTTGCATGCAGGTAGTGGGGATTACAAGAGAATGTTGCTGCCAGGCAGTGCCTTTTTATAATGTCAGCTCCATGCAATTCCTGCTGGCAGGTGCCTTTTCCAGAGGAAAATCTGTTTCTACCAGCTCAGCTGGACTCCTGGGGCCTTTAGCAGGAATGCATTGAAATGGGCAAAATGTCTCCTATTTCTCAGAGCTGTACTGAGAGATGGGCGGGGGTCTTGTGCCCATGGAGCTGACCCCAGTCCAGCACAGGGTGCGGAGTCTGGGGGTGATGGATGCAGCTCTGTGGGGCTCAGTGGGTTTGGTGCCCATGTCCAGATGGGCTCAGCAAGGCGCGGGGAGGCAGTTCAGCATCGCACCAGAGAGCTCCCATCTGCCCTGCTCAACTTGGCTTGGCTGCTTTATAAATACAAGTTCACTGAGTGCACAGATTCCTATCATATTTTTTTTTTTTCCTCCCCCTTCCAAATTCAGGCTGTGCTTATCAAGGTTGAGCAAATACAGTAACTCACGTGCATGCTGCAGGGTCTGCTTCTCCTGCTGGATTTAGCACTATACCTGATCCTCCTCCTCCTCAGTAACCCACTAACACGTCTGTGAGCATTTGCCTGAAGTCCTTTACCCATGCATGAACCCCACGGGCAGCATCAGGCATGGCTCAGCTTTGCCTCTGGACTCTCAGTGCAGCCAGACAGGCTCGCTCTGGTTATCTGGGTGTTCTTGTCCCTTCCTCCCATTTCCTTCTAACCCACTGTAAATCAGCACGGGAGTGTCAGAGCTACGGATGAAAAAGAGCTCTGTAACTACCCGGTGTTCCATCCCAAGTGACACACCTGTGGTCTGAGCTCCAGATAGAGCTGTTTTTCAGGCTCCTGCCCTGTCTCCCCATAGTAAGAGCTATTACGTGACTGATGCCCATGACTGTGCTGGAAATATTCCATGTCGATCATTAATTCCCAGCACTTAACTCCACGCCCCGTGCAGACGTCTGAGCTTGTGGTTGCTTCTGAAACATGCATCAGAAGGCAGCGCCGAGCAGGAGATATCTGTGGGATTTTGGCACGTGGGGGTCTGTGGAGTGCGAGTTCCCTCTGCTGGCACACACAGGGTGGGGCCACGGCTCTGCAGCCCACAGGGATTGAGCCACATCCCTGCTCCCTCATCCCAGCCCTGGGCAGGATGGGGCTGTTTCCAGGCAGTGATTTGGAAACCCCAGAGATGAATCTTCAAGCCCATTTTGCACAGCAAAGGGGGCTGTGGCAGATGCAAGTTGAATCCCGTGTTTTTAGGCGTCAGTCCCTGTGTGCCAGCAGAGCGGGGATAAATCTCGGTGCATCTCAGCAGCTTTGGAAGCTTTTGGGAGAGGTGTTGGTGTTGGATGGGGTGTCCTGGGGGTGCAGGAGCCCAGAGCTCGTTCCCTTGGCTTTTCTTGCACTCTTTCTGCACTGCAGCCTCTGAAAATGCAGCTTTTCCAATTGCCCCCGTGCTCTGCTTGTGCTGGAAGGAGCCTGCTGTGTCAGAGTGCAGCCAGGGCTGGCGATTGTTCCTAACCTCAGTAAGCAGCAGAGCTACTTTTCTTTCTCAAATTCCTTCTCTGGAGCTTCTTGGGATGTAAGGCTTTGCTCTGGATGCTGCTGCAGCAAAGACACAACTGCCTGCTCTCTAAAACAGAGCTTTCTTTTCCTTTTAGAACTATCTTCTTTGTTTTTGTGTACCTTTGGGGAAAATTCCTCGTCCTTTTCTTGAGGCTCACTGTCTCTCTTGCTGCTAAATAACGAATGAATCCACTACAGATAAGCCCTTTCCTCCAGTCAGAGAACACTGCTTCAGTGACAGCTTGCTGGCTGTGAGAGCTCTCCTTCCCCCTGCACGCACCCCCCCCAGCTAACAGCCTCAACCTGCAACTCAGGTTCCATGCCTGGCAGAGATGAGCAGCCCGCAGAGATGAGCAGAGCTCCCTGGGATGAGTTCCATAGTGCAGCACCGAGCAGCAGCACAGCTTTCCAGCCGCTCCATCCCTCCCTGCCTGCAGCACAGCACTGTCAGCATGGAGCTGCGTTCCCAGGGACCCCTCACAGTAACCTCTCTGAAACACTGAGCTGATGGGACACACGATTCTTTCCTGTAATCCGAATGCTATTAACCCTTGGGGCTGTGATTGGGTTGCAGTGATTTTTTTTTTTATTATTTTTAATTATTTTTATTATTCCCTCCTCCTTTTTCAATGATGAATTACTGGAATAGTTTTGATTTTGTTTTGTATGTAGATGCAGATATATAATTTCCTCTTCTGTTCATTCATTTTCCAGCCTTGTTTTCTTCCAGGTCTTGTTGCTCTCCACCTTCTCCTGCTGTGTTGCTGTGTGACGTGTCCGCCTTTACTTCGCCTGCTTCGCTACCATCTCATCTCAATCTCAAGCCGTAGAACAACCTGGTGGTGCAGCCCCTTTCATGAGAAATCAACCTGCTTTTGATTTTGTTTTTATGGTTGTTTTTTTTTTTCTCTTGATTTGTTTTTCTTCAGGCCTTCATCTGTTAGGGCGCAGATAACGTTAATTCACGAACCTCTTCCTCCTTCCTAAACTGAGTCTCAGAGGTTTGGGCCCAGGGGTGAAAAGGGGACGGCTGGGTTAAAAACTCATCTCCAAAACAGTTCTCCGTGTGTCGGTGATGGAGGATGTAGATTTGTGCTCTGTGAGCTGGGTGCTGTGACGCACATCTCACCTGAGCAGAACATCCCGGGGAGATGGAGAGCTCTGCGTGAGCACTGGGATCTGTGTGCTCCCACTCTGCAAACTGGGAGGCAGTGGGTGCTGAACAGATGTCCCCAGAAACATCACAATTTAAAAAGCAAAGCTCCCCCCGGCCCAGTTCAGTTCCTTGGTCCTGGCAGCCTGGCTCTGAGCAGCAGCTCCCACCGGGCTGAGCTGTGCTCGGAATGTGTCTGACTGATGGGATTTGGTGCAATGTTAGTTTAAAACTAAACGTCTCATGGTTTTCTATTTTGTTTTTTAAGTTCTAATCTGCTGTTCTTTTTTTTTGTTCTTTTTTTTTTTTTTGGTGAAAAGTGTTAAAACAAAAATGTTTTTAGATGACCTGTTTTCCCTCATGTGGTTACCCTTGTGATTTTTGTGCATGTTGAGGGTTCCTGATTTCAGATGTCCAGATGCTGTTTTGGGATCCTGCCTGGGCTGAGTGTTTTGGAGGGGTTCAAATAGGAATTGAAACCTCACAGCTTGGAGCTCAGCTGATTTGTGTCCTGAGGATGGATTACTGCTATGCTTTCCCAGGTTGTGCTCAAAGCCCAGAGGCTGGTTCTTGCCCAGACCCTTGGGGGTGCCAGTTTGAGACCAGAAGGTCCTTAAAAAAATTCTGTTATTTTCACTCCTGTGGGTCAGCAGACAGCTTTTCCTGCTGAAATGGCACTTTTAATTCCACCTGCAGAAAGCATTTTTTTTGCCTATTGGGAGCATCCTGCTATAGGGCGTGTGCTGCTCCATTGTAGTTCTCCATCCTGGGAAAGCTGGGTGCTGTGATGTGGTGAGGGTGCCCAGCTGCAGGTAGGGGCCAGGTGTGCTCCTGCTCCCTCCAGCTGCCTTGCAGGCCAGCTTCAGCAGAGGGCATGGGTTTTGTGAGGGATGCCCGACTTACAGCTGGATGCTCCAGTTTGGTGCATGCCCTGCACGGATTGAGGTTTTACAGGATACATGCAGGGTGATGTGGAGCTGCCCAGCTCCCAGTGGGGTGTCATTTTTGTGCTCTGCAGTCTCAGGTTGTTGGTAGCTGCAGCATTATGCTGTAGGAGCAATGAGTCGAGCAGTTGTGCAGTGACCTCAGGCAGCCCTCGCGCGTCGGGACTGTGAGCTCCATACAGCTCTGCTCGTGGTTTAAGCAGCTCTGCCTTCCCCTTTCTGTCTGTTTTCCAGGCGATCTCAGGTAATTGAGAAATTTGAGGCATTAGACATCGAGAATGCAGAGCACATGGAGACGAACGTGCCAGCAGGAGCTGCCCTGTCCAGCGAGACGCGGCAGGGCAGGAGTGAGAAGAGGGTCTTCCCAAGGAAACGGGTAAGCAGTTTCCATACAACCATAGCACCACTGAGGTCTCACGGTGGGGTTTGGGTTGAGCACAGTGGGATCGGGTGCAGGGCAGCACTGCTGGTTCAGCCCGTGCATGTTTGCTGCTCACTGCTCTGCTCTCTTGGTCCAGGTGCAGGTCAGGGCAGAAAATCAGGTTGTCTCTTTTCTATCCTCTGGAATAGAAAGAGGGAAACGTCAGATCTAGCACAGCAGGACACATCCTCATGGCATGAAATAACAAAAAAAAAACAGGCAGTCTTGAGTCCCACTTGTGCTCAGACATATTGGGAGCAGTTTATTCCCTGAGAAGCCTGAAAAAAGATCTTGCCAGTGAGGTGACACTTGTTCTGAGCCTGACGTGCCCCCGAAATATGTGGGTTTTTGTGCCATGAGCCAGGGAGCAGGACTTGCTGCCCTAGTTCTGTGCTGACCCAGGCTCTGCTGTCTGCACAGGACTTCACGTGCGAAGGGACAGCCATGGGCTCCATCCTGGACGTGTCTGCATCTCCGCTGTCCCCACACCGCCGGGCCAAGTCACTGGACAGAAGGTCCACAGAGTCCTCCATGACGGTGAGCCACCAGGGCTGTGTCCTCTGCCACGTGGGTGAATGCCAGAGCCTTTCCCAGGCAGCTCCGATGGAAATCTCCTCATCTGCTCTCCCCTTAGCCAACACATAGGGCATCTGCTGTGGTTGGTGTTGGAGCAGATGAGTTTGACTTGAATCAGGTGTGGCTAATGCTGAGAGTTAGAGCTCTGCTTTTTGCCTTTTCCCCTCTACTGCTGCAGAAATTAAAACAGGCAGTGCTTCATGACTGGTGCATATTGGAGTAGCGGGTACCAAGCCAAGTTTGCATTTGGTTTGGTTAGGAGAGCTAATACATGGCCCAGTTTTCTATCAGTACTTCCGTGATGTTTGTGCAGTTGCAAGCTTGTGTTAGTGGAACAAGGTCTTCCATTTGCATGTTCCAAATGCTCACCAGACCTGGAGGCAAACAGTGCAAAACAAGCATGGAACACCCTCCACTCTCTCTCCACCCTTTGTAGGAACAGAATAAATACACTAATCTCTGAGAAGGATTACTTAGCCATTGTAAATACACGATATTTACATTTTTCATGGATGGACAGCTCGTATTCAAGGACTTCTCAAAAATGCAGTAGCTTAGCATTTCTGTGGGCTGTTCATGTAGACTTGTACTGTGACAAGAATGACTTTAAAATTCTTGGTAATAAAAAGGTACAAAAAGTGCATATCAAGTGACAGTGCACATCATCTAATGTGACTGCAAGAAAAACTTGCAGTCAGTGGGAAACATTCCCTGCTGGTGCTTCTGGGAGTGATCCCACACTGCTGAGTGCTTTCCTTGCTGACTGCAGGAAGTAGCAGGTGCTGTTTTTGTGCTGGGATTGCCTGTATTTCCAAGCCCTGAACATAGGAACTCAGCCTGGTGCTGGATCCATGTGTGGAATTGCAGGTGCATTTTCACTCCTGATGGATGACAGAGGGACAAAAATGCATGCAGTGTTGCTAACTCTGTGCTTCTCCTTCCATTGTAATTCTGGTGCAACAGTAGGAAATCACAGCTGCTAGGAAGGAGACAGCCTACATAAATCATACAGCAGATCCCTGTGCCTCCTTGGAGCAGACATTTAGCCCCCACGCGGCGCAGTGATCCAGCTTCACCGCTGCTGGTTCCTTTGATTGCTGTGCTGGGTTTTGTCACCCTGTTGCCTATTCCCAAGCTGGATGTGGCCACTCTGACTGCATCTGTCCTTCCTTGCAGCCTGATTTGCTGAACTTCAAGAAGGGCTGGCTGACAAAGCAGTATGAAGATGGGCAGGTGAGTCGGGGGCAGCTCCTACCTGCTCCAGTGTGCCTTGTGCCTGGGGCTCCACACGTGTGGGTTCCTGCAGCCTGGCTGCAGTCAGTCCTGGGGCATGGGTGGCAGTAGGAGTGTGCAGAAGATGTACACGCATAAAACAAGTGCCAGGGATGGGCTGCAGCTCAGTTTTTAGATATCATGGATAAAACAAGAGTATTGTATTGCTTTTTTTAATTTAAAAAAAACAAAAAAGCTTCGTGTTGCCAGGGGAGCTCATGGAGGGCGCTTGCTGTATTTCATCATCGCTTGCGGGGTTGAAGCACTGCAGCATCCTTTGTGTTGCTGCCTGCTCCTCTCTCCCCAGCCCTTTGGGAAGGCTGCTTGTGGAGCTGGGAGGGGAGGGGCTGTTGGTAACTCTTCTGTGCTGGTTGTTTCGTAGTGGAAGAAGCACTGGTTTGTGCTGACTGACCAAAGCCTGAGATACTACCGGGATTCGGTGGCAGAGGAGGTAGGTGTCACTCTGTGGGGGGAAAGCCATTACTGCTGGGCTCTGTGCTCCCTACAGCCCTGCTTGTTGTCTCCCTGCAGTGCATCTCACCAAACCCTACCCTGCGCCTCCTGCGCAGAGCCATGGTGCTTTTGATTTGCAGTGTGTTACAGCATCCTTTATCTCTCTCTTCTCTCTTCAGGCTGCAGACCTGGATGGAGAAATTGATTTATCAACGTGCTACGATGTCACTGAGTACCCGGTTCAGCGGAACTATGGCTTCCAGATCCATGTAAGGATGGTGTGGGGCAGGGATGCTCAGTGCTGGGTGCTTGGGGTGGCTGTGGATGGTGTGGGGCAGGATGGTGCTGGTGGGTGCAGCCCACAGCTCTGAGCCGATCCCTGCTTTCCTCAGACGAAGGAAGGGGAGTTCACCCTTTCTGCCATGACGTCTGGCATCCGTCGCAACTGGATTCAGACCATCATGAAGCACGTTCGCCCCACCACTGCGCCTGATGTAACGAGGTAAGGGGAGTCACGGCCCCTGCACTGCTTGGCTGTGCAGAAGGAGCTCTTCCTTGTGCCTGTGCTTTCCGCTTTCTGAGCCTGTCCGCCCCCAGAAGCTCTGCCTCTTTCTTAAACCCCTCTCTCTGGGCTTGATCTGGATATACTTTGTGGGTGTGCAGATAATGCTGAGTTGCTCTTACGGGTGCAGTTTTCAAAGAGGGTTGAAAATGTGGCTTTAATTTGTGCGTAGGAATATGAAATACTGTTCCTATATCAAGGCTCCTCTGGATTCCCACCAGGTATTGTGAAACCACTTGGATTCAGCTGTGCTGGGTTCCCCCTTTCCTCTGGCTACTGTTCAGCATGAGCTGCCTGGCCCTGCTGTGGGTCACAGGGCTGAAGGAGAAGCTCTTTGGCTCTGATAGACTTTAAACTCCATCCAGTGAACCGCCTCCCTTCTCTTTTGATGTTCCAGCTAGCAGCAGCTCCTTCCCCTTGCTCTTTAGCAACATCTGTGTCTCCTCCTGCCACCAGTGCCAGAGGAAGGGGCCCCTTGGTTCCCTGCTGTGAGCGCTTGAGGCTGAGAGAAAGGGCATTTGAGCCCCTCACAGCTAACCAATCATGCCAGCCACACTCCCATGGGCTTCCCAGACACGGCCACAGCATTCACTGTCTCCTGTCTTTACTGTGGCTGCAGCCAGTAGGGCTTTGCCAGGTTTGCCCCTGCCTTGGTGGCATGGCTCTTCTCACTGGCTCTGCTGGCTGGGGATGCTCCGACCCCTACGCCCACCCTGCTTGGCACCCATTCCCAAGCTCCAGTGGGTTCACAGGATATCAGGGAAGCCACCTCTCTCTTCACTCCTCTGTGTGTTTGATTTTCATGCAATCCCAGGAAAAACTTCTCTTTGAAACTATCCGTGCTGAAGCCCAGGTTGGAAAACTGTGTTCTCTCCTGTATTAACATGTTGTGGTTTGTATATCTTGTGATTCACTGCATGCTCCTCCTTTTCTGCACCTCGGATGGGAAGTTCTGCAGTTTTCATTTATTTTTCTTTCTTTTTTCTTTTTTTTTTTTTGTTTTTTGTTTCCCCCTTTATTTTTCTTTTCAATAAAAGCCAGAAAGAAGGGAAGAAGCAACCTGGTCTTGACAGTTGATTCCCCCACACTGGTGCCTTCTGATGTGACTAGATGTGAAGATGAAGACCAAGGAAATTTGAGGGGACCTCTCAGCCCTTTAAGAGCCATATCTATGCATAGCCTAGCAGGTTACTGCATCTCGGTGCTCCTGTGCTCACTGTCTGCTGCCCTGAGCCCACGTGGCATGGTTTAACTCGGCTTTACCCTGCAGAGAAGGTCTGGGTGCTGGTCGTGCAGTAACTTGCTACGCTGCATAAACAGACGGCAGCTCTGAACCCCGGGCTGATGATGAGGGCTTTATAGGTGCACTCGTGTTGTTTTTCACTGGACTGCTTCCAAGTGGGGTGCACGTGGGTTTGAGGCACAGCACTGAACTGCAGCTCTGCGTGCACCAGGGCTCTTTGACAAGCCCTTGAGCTGCGGTGTGAGCGCAATGTAGCACAGCCTGTTCGGTGTCTTTGATGCACTGTTGGCATCCTCACCCTGTGAGCAGCTTGGGATGGGGCTGCTGGCTCCCATCACCCTCTTCCAGTCTCCACTGGGCCCAGTGCATGCTTCCTTGTTACTCAAGTCTTAATTACTGTTTATATCCTAGCGTGTGGCAGCACCCTGGGGGGTGGGTGCTGCCCTGCTCCCTGCTCTGCCATCTCCAGAGGTGCTAATTACACAGCAATGGCCATGCAGGTGTAAAGCACGCAAAAGGAGCAAAGAGGCTCCTTCAGCCCCTGGTTGAGCTCCTAGTCCTGGTGCCCCCCAGTTCCCATGCTCACCTTGGAGCTTGCGCCGTGCTTGCAGCCACCCCTGTTAGAAACCAACTGTCTGTTGCCTGCTCTGTAAATCTCTCATCTCCCCTTGCCACGTGGTGCGAATTTATCTGGAAGGGAGGAGGTACAAAATGAGTGAGTAGCATCAGTAGCCATAGGGTGCTGCTGGGAAACAAAGTGCTAAATGTGGGGGCTGTCTGCTGAGTTTCCCAGCACTGTGCCCTTTGGGGATCTGTGCAGGAGGAATGGGCTGGCAGGAGGTGGCACCTGTAAGCATGCCGAGGTTCATAGAGTCCTTGGACATCCCGAGCAGGAGGGAACCCGGATCATGGAGTCCAACTCCTGGCTTCTTCCATGTGGTTTTCAGAGCAACGTCCTTTCTGTTCCACAGCAACATCCAAGGGACCTCAGGACTCCCCTTCTTCCTACTGCTCTTCTCCATTTTAAGACTTCATCTCCTTTCTGTTTCACTTATTTAAAATGCAGTTGTAGTCACTGACTGACCGCACGTTGAGCACTTGGCTGGGAGTGTGCTCTGGAGTCGTGCAGCAGCATCCTGTGGGTGTGGAGTGAGTTTTCCATGGTGCCTTCTGGGTTTGTTGAGGAAGGAGTTATCTCCAAGCTAGTCTCAGCCAGTGATTGCCAGAATATCTTGAAACCCAGCTCTGTTGAGCCTGTGGTTTGGTTGTGGATGGAGGTACCTTGGAAGATACTGGCTATGGACACATGCAGTTCTGCTCCAGTCATTGTTTTGAGGAGAGGGGTTTAATCTGTGTGCTGGAGGAGCCCTTCTGTGCTGCTGCCTTTGGGACCAGTGGTGCACATGGGTTTGTGGAGCACTGTGAGCACTGATCTGCCTGCAGTGAAGGGCCCAGACAGGTGCCCTCTGGCTCTGCTCCCTGTGCCCTTCTGGAAAATTCAGCTGGACTGTGCTGGAACCCTGTGGTTGTGCAGGACATGGGGCCCAAGGGTGGTGCTGCAGGAGGCATCTGGGGTTATCCTGGTAGCACAGGGATTGGCAAACACCTGCTGTTCTCTTGGGAGAGGATTCCTCTGCAAGGTTAACACACAGCTATTCTCTTTATTTTAATTTTGATCTGCATGTTCCAAGGCTGGCATGTCTGCCTCTAATGAGCTAGTATTGCATCATGAGCTGCCCGTAGGTTGGAGGTGGTATTGCCCTTCCCTGTTCTCTTTCCCTGCTTGATGAGTATGTCTCCCCTCTCATCCCTCTAACTCAGCACTGAAAGCCATTCCTTGCTTGAGAAACGGCGTTTTAGGGGATGGCCATGGTGTGTTGTGTAACTCTTGCTCTCCTCACTGCACCAACTGCGGCACCCATGGCAGATACGTGCCTTCAGTGTTCACAGTGGCACAGAGAAGTTTTGGGCCCTGTTCACAGGCTGACTCTGCTGAGCTTGAGGAAAACCCGACCCCAGATACCAAAGGCATCTTAGAGTGGCTCTGTGCTTCTCTGCAGTGCTGAAGCCAGGCTGACTTTGTTGGGACTGGTGGCATCCTCTCTGCTAGCCCACGGTGTGGCCATGCTGATTAGTCTGTGCACATGGGCAGGTGCTGGAAGAGCACCTGAAGCCTTTCCCCAGCCCATGAAGGTGGTTTGGGGCCACTGCTGGCCTTGGGGTGGCTGCCAAGGAGGAGTGTGGTTGGGATCGGCCACCCCCTAGGGCCGCTTGCACTGTGGCTTCGCACGCCGGCACAACCTGAAGAAGGGCTGCTGTGCCCGAGAAGTGATGGGAGATGGAGGGGTAGGGGGGCGCACACCTGGCTTTGGCTTGGGCTTTGGCAGCCCCTCTCCACCCAGCTCTTGAAGGCATGCGTGGAAGTGCCTGGCCACCTTGAGCACCCGGTGACGCTTTCTTTTGCTCTCTCTCTGTCCCTGCAGCTCCCTACCAGAGGAGAAAAGCAAAACAAGCTCATCCTTTGAGCCCAGCCCAAAGCCCAGCGAGAAGCAGGACGCGGAGCAAACAGAGCTGGACTCGGAGCAGAAGCGGAGCCGTGCACGGGAGCGCCGGCGAGAAGGAAGATCCAAGACCTTTGACTGGGCTGAGTTCCGCCCCATCCAGCAAGCCTTGGCTCAGGAGCGTGCCAACGCCGCCGACTCCTCCAAGAGTGGCACCGCTGCCTTCTCCAGGGACAGCAGCACCGCCGACACCGACCCAGGAGAGCTGGAGCGGGAGCGGGCCCGGCGGCGCGAGGAGCGGCGCAAACGCTTTGAGATGGTCGACACGGTGGATGGAGCAGGGCCAGAGGAGACACTGAGGATGGAGGTGGATCGGATCCTGCCTGTCCCCTCGGACATCAAACCGCAGAACGTCCACGTGGAGATTGAGCAGCGGTGGCACCAGGTGGAGACCACCCCGCTGCGGGAGGAGAAGCAGATCCCCATCGCTCCCCTGCACCTCGCTCACGCTGAGGACCGGGATGAGGGGCTGGCAAAGCAGCACCTGACCACACTGCTGGAGAAGGAGGTAAAGCAGGAAGCCTGAGCGAGGGTAAAAAAAAGCTGTGTTTATTCCTGCTTTGGGATAACAGTGAGCAGAGATGTGCTGTCAGGGTGCCTTGAGACCTAGATCCATGTTCATCCTCTGTTCCCAGTGCTGCTCTTGCAGGTAGCACCCCATTGCCCTGTCCAGCCTGCATCAAGCGGAGATGCTCCTGGTGTTTGTTACCCTGCCTTCCTCTAATGAGATGAGCACAACTGAGGCATATTAACCAGACTCTACATTTAAGCTCTTAATCCTGTTTGCCTCTACAACTGTAGAGATTTGTGTCTACAGTTATGCCTACAAAATCATAAATGGGCTGGAATTGCAGTGCGTGCCACAAAAGTTCCCTTCTTGTGAGCCTACATCAAACAATCTCAAGATTTTGGGAAAAGAATAGGTGGCTCAGCTCACTTGGAAGAGGTCCACATGTGGGATAACAAAGGTCATTGTTAGTCAGGATTGAGGTGTATTAACTGGAATGAAAGAGGTACAGGCACAGAGTAACCAGGAGCATCGCCAATCTGAACTGGGGTGGGATTTGCCTGGGCCATGCCTGGCACGAGCTGGTGCCGTTCCTCCTTTGCCACATTGAGCTTCATGAATTAAACTCAAACACAATGCAGTTCTTTCAGGGGGAGGGGCTTTGCCTGTTAAAATGAAATCCTGGTTGCAGAGCAGTGCTGTGGGAAGCCCCGTGCTCTGATGGCTGAGCCCGTGCCTGCTCACTGGACTCTGTCTCTGTTTGTGTCCCTCCAGCTGGAGCAGAAACAGAAAGAGGCCCTGGAGCTCCTGGAACAGAACCGACACCTGCAGGACCAGCTGAAAGTGGCACTGGGTCGGGAGCAGAGTGCCCGTGAGGGCTACGTGTTGCAGGTAGGAGAGCTGGGAGGAGAGGGGAACCCATCCTCCCCTGCATCAAAGGGACTCCACTGTGCTTCGGTGCGAGCACACCCCAGTTCGTGGCGATGCACAGCGCTGAACAGGCTCCAAGAGATTTGACCTGCTTGGAAAAGTTGCTGATTCTGTTGATTTAAAAGGTTTGCCTGCTTATGAAAACATCTGGTTTGGTTTGCAGCAGGCAGGAGATAATGCTGCCTGTTGTCTTCCCCAGGAGAAGCTGTAGATAGGATCCCAGCAAAGCCCATCTCTTGTCTACTCTGTACTGTTTGCCTTTGCAACAGCTCTGATCCCCCTTCCTGAGTCCCAGGTGTTCCTGTCACACAGTAGGACAGACATAAGGCTTTCTGAGCATCTCACGGCCCCGTGTTTCTCCTGGCCAGGGAATTTATGTGATTGTTCCATGGCAAGCCCAGCAAATGCAGAGGCATCAGTCATCCTGGACAGAGCGTCAGGATGTCACACCTACAGCCTGGCTGCTGTATTGGAGCACTTTGGTGGTTTCTTCTCTTGCAAGATGCCTTTCCTCAGGAAAGCCTGGAAGGGTTTTGGAATTTTTGGCAGAAGAGGTGGGAGAATCTTCTGGGAAGCCTTTCCTCCCCACCTCCAGACATTGGCTTTTGCCACCTCCTTCTCTGAGAGCATTTACGTTCCAGAGAAGGCATGAAGCCTGCAGGGCACCCCTGCCTCTGCTGATTGGTGATTTGATCTGCTTGCTCCTGGTGAGCCAAAGTGATGCTGTGCTCCCGTGGCAGCAAGCCTGACATCCTTGTTTGTTTCTCAAGGGAGAAATTTCCCCTGAGGAAACTTCAAAGTCAGAGAAGCCAGCCCAGGCATCTTGCCTTTCTGACTGGTGATCTCCATGGGGGAATTATTAATGCATTTGTTCATTTTGGAGCCCCCAAGCTATAGTGCTTGCAGGGAGCAGTGCTGTTTTTACTTGGCAATGTTGGAAGAGAATCTTTGGGGACCAGAAGGAGAAGAGAATGACACAGAGCTAGCAAATAAGTCAGGGCTTGGGAGACAGCCCCATCCTTTTTTGAACAGCAGATTCAGCATCCATAGGGCTGTTTAGTGAGATGGGTCAGAAGCAAGGTTTGTCTGAGGTGCATAGAGGAACTCCTGCAGGGACACATCTTGCAAAACTGAGTGCTGCATCCATCTGCTGTCGTGCTGCTGTGCTGAAGTTGACCCTAGCACGTAGGTACAGGGAGGGGAGGTCTGTAGGGGAGTTGACCCAACCTTTGCCGCACTAAGAAGCGTCCCCAGCTTTGACCTAGGAATTGGGCAGGATGTTTGGAAGGGTCAGGGGTCTCTTCCTTGGGATTTCCCTTTCATTGTGTGGGAGCAGCGGGGTTAAAACCCTGCTGTAGAAGGGAGTAACCCCACCAAACCCTACTGGGGGTGGAAAGACAGAAGCAGGTTATTATTTGAGCTTTTCTGCAGCTCCAAACTGCAGGCAAACATCACAGCCTTTTTTTTTTTGGATGCACTCTCTGAACTTGTTGCTCCCCCATACCTCCATCACCCCCAATTTCCAAGAGGTTCCTGTGCTGACCAGCTGGCTGCCAGCCTGTCCCTCCCGAGCCCCGTGGCAGCCCCACATGGACACAAAGGATGCTGTTCCGTAAGGCAGCCGCTGAGATAAGCACCCCATGCATGTGCTGTGCACTGCAGCCTCTCTGCCCTCCTGTAACAACCCTTCTCTCACTCACAGCATCCTTGGGACATGGTGCCCAAGCGGGGGGGCATGGCAGGGGCTCAGACTGCCCCGTGGTTTCCCCAGCTCTGGTCCCAGTGGGTGAGAGGGGTCACATACTAACCTGTCCCTGGGCGGATGTTCTTGCATGGTTTTTTTGGTGTAAAGCATGAAATTTAACTTAACATAACTGAGTGTCACATCTGTGGGCTTTCCTTACCAGCAACCAGAGTACAGCAGGGCAGGCCAAATTCCTAGGCTTAACGCTGTGCTTTTCTTGCCTCTTCCTGTCTGTGTATTTTTTTTTTAAAGATACATAATTTCTGTCGCCTATTGCATGACTCTCTGTGAGTTTTCTCTTTGCATGCTGCGTTGCTTTGATTTGAATCTCACAAAGGTTGGTTTCTTTTGTTTGACATTCTCATCATACCTGCCCCCCCACCCTCCCTTCACTTGTTGGGCTTTTTATTTTGTCCTTTTTTTGTTCTTTGTTTGGTTTTGTTTTTTTACAGGTAGAGAACTTAGATCCTTCCTAGCCTTAAGCTCTAGCATAACAGCATCTCTCTAATGCACTGAGCAGCCAATAAGTCCTGTCTGGCAGCCCCTGAAATGACATCGCCACGCCGGCTGTCCTGTCTCGCTGCGTTCTGCTGGGAAGTGATGTCATTTGCTGCCACCTCACTTTCTGTCGTTGCTTTTGTTCGGTAGGACTGTGGTACCTGAACTGTGCACTTTTTGTTTCATAGCAAAACGAACCAACACACTAAAAGCAGTTCCTTTCTTCTCGGCCTGTCCCCATCCCTTCCTTCTCACCCGTCCAGTTTTTCTCTTGTCTGTCTGTCTCTGTTTTACTGCTGGTGTTTCTTTTTCATCGTTCTTTTTTGTTCTCTGTCTTTTGGTTCCGTTTGATTTTGGTTGTTCTCCTTTTAGCCTGTGACTGTACAGCTGTTTTGACGTTATGGTCCATGTTTTCTGTTACTGGAAAGCAGTTGTTACTCATTTAAAAAAAAAAAAAAAAAAAAAAAGTTAGACAAAATTGTGCCAGGAACAAATCATCCCAATTGGAGCTTGTGGGGTAGCAGCCAAATGCTGCGAGGAGCTTTTCCATGGCCTGCCTGGCCAGAGGTGTGACACTCAGAAGGGAGAGCCAAGAGTGTTACTAATCTAGTATTTAATCAATTTTTTTAAGACCGAGGTGGCCGCCTCGCCGTCAGGTGCCTGGCAGAGGCTCCACAAAGTCAACCAAGACCTCCAAAACGAGCTGGAAGCGCAATGCCAGCGTCAAGAGCTGATCAATCAGCAGATCCAGTCGCTGAAGCGCAGCTATGCCGAGGCTAAGGACGTCATCCGGCACCACGAAGCTGAGATTCAGAGCCTGCAGGCGAGGCTCAGCAACGCGGCAGCCGAGCTCTCCATCAAGGAGCAGACCCTGGCCAAGCTCAGGAGCGACCTGAGGAGCGAGAAGGAGAAGGCCAAGGAGCAGCTGGAGGAGTGGCAGCATGGCGAGGCTGCGCTCAGCTCCCAGCTGAAGGCCAGTGAGCAGAAGCTAAAGAATGCTGAGGCTCTGCTCCTGGAGAAGACCCAGGAGCTGCGGGACCTGGAAATGCAGCAGGCTCTGCAGAGGGACCACCAGAAGGAGGTGCAGCGGCTGCAGGACAGGATCGCCGAGCTGAGCAGGCAGCTGAATGCCAGCGAGCAGACGCGCATCCTCATGGAGGAGAAGCTGCAGAAGAATTACGAGGCTTTGCTGGAGAGCTGTGAGAGGGAAAAGCAGGTTTTAATACAGAGTCTGAAGGAGGTGGAAGATAAGGCCAACGAGTACGAGAATCAGCTGCAAAATAGCGAGCAGCAAATGGAAATTCTGCAGAAGGAAAAGCTGAGTGCAAAGTTTGAGGGAAGCGAGCTTGTCCACCAGTTGGAGGAGCAGCTGCTGCTGAAGGAGGCCAGCATCCAGAAACTGGGCGAGCACATCAAGGAGCTCGAGAGGGAAAGAGATCAGATAAAATGTCGGTTCCATGAGCTCATGAATCAAGTTGCTGAGTCAGATAATGAGGTTGCAAAGCTGCAAGCCAAGTTGAAAATGGAAGAGACCAACTACCACAATCTGGAGCAGTCGTTTGAGGAGGTGTCAGATCAGTTCCAGGGTGTGCAGAAAGTGCTGAAAGAAAAAGAGGAGGAGCTGAGGCATGTTAAGGAAATGCACTTGAGAATTGTGGAGAAGAAAGATCAAGATCTCAGCGAGGCTTTGGTTAAAATGGTTGCTTTGGATAGCAGTTTAGAGGAGACTAAAGTAAGGCTAAAGGCCAAGGAGGAGGCTTTAAGGAAATTAACCAGCGTAGGTGCGGAGCCGTGTGCTGAGGAGGCAGAAGATGTTGGCTGCCATCTGGAGGCTGACGAAAGTCACCCATCTCAGCTGGGGCAGCCTCTGCCAACTCACAATGCCCTCCCGGTTCTGACCTATGCGCTGAAGGAGGAGGAGGAAGTCCTTGAGACCAGCCAAAGGCAAGCAGAGGAATTTGACTCCCTTTCCAAAGCTGCGGAGCTCCAGGACCAAGAGTTGGCTCAGAAGGCCTTAGCAAAGCCCGATGTAGGAATCATGGGGGCCAAGAGGCAGAGAATCCGTTTCTCAAGCATCCAGTGCCAAAAATATATCCACCCGGACGGATCGGAGAAGAACTGGACCAGCAGTACCTCTTCTGACACCAGCCAGGACAGGTCCTTGTCTGAGGAAAGCATGTCTTCGGAGCCAGCTCCTGGCTATCCATCATCAGCGGCAAGCGACTCCGAGACCTACCTCTCCATCATCCACTCTCTGGAAACCAAGCTGTATATTACAGAGGAAAAACTGAAAGATGTAACCATGAAGCTCGAGAGCCAGCACGGCCATAACCAGGAGACTCTTATTGCCCTGCACCACCAGTGGGCCAGCACAGAGTCTCAGCTGCGGGAGCAGCTCCAGAGCAGCTTATCCCAAGTCAGCGCTCTTGTCTCGCAGCTGGAGAGCGAGAGGCAGGAGAAGCTCAAACTCATAGAAAATCACGTTAGCGAGCTGGGAGGTTTCCAGGTGAAAAACGATCAAGCGCTGGCTTGCTTAGAGAAGTGCAGGGAGCAGCTAAGATCTCTCCCCAAGTCAGATAAGGAGCAAGAGAGCGATTTGTTCCTCGTTACTCTAGCCAGCATGGAAACAACCTTATCGGGTGCAATCCAGGCCTTGGGAGGGGCACCGGCCCCACCGGAGTGTCAGCAGAGTGAGGGCCTCATGGCAGGGTCCCCTGCGTCCAGGGGGGGGGTGCTGGGTGAAGGGGAGCCCGTCTCTGAGGAGCAGCCAGCAGGGACTTTTGGTGCGGGCCAGTTGAAGTGGCTGTCTGAGAGAGTGGCCTTTGAGGCCTCTCTTATCAGCCAGATAGCAGAGTCTCTGAAAAATGCAGGCTCTGAGATATCACAGCTTCTCAGGGAGATCCAGGGGACGGCGGAGGTGGTTCTGATAGAGCCGGCAAGTGCTTCTCACACAGCAGCTGACTTGGCCGGTGTCCTATCTAAGAAGCTGCTGCTGGAAGGGGAGTTCTGGAGCCAGGTGGAGGAGCTGAGAGTGCACCTGAGCAGCAGGCAGGGAGAAGCAGAGGGCCAAACAGAACCAGCAGGTTTGGGCTTTTCTCCGTGTTTTCTTAGTGCTGTAGCAGATGCTACATTGATCAAAGCAGAACTTGGGTTTGTGGCGCAGAAGATGAGGGACTCTTTTCACCAGAGATTAAAAATGATCGAAGAAGACCTCCATAACACCAAAACAGCTCTCCAGCAGCACAAGTGCATGTTGGAGGAAATTCTCAAAGCTTACAGGACTCCTGATTTTGACAGAGTTGTGCATCAGATTTCTGAAGCGCTTGAAATTCAGAAAGATGCTTCAGAAAGAGCCCAGATCTCCTGGGACGGGAGCTGCCTCCAAATGGGACCGTGCCAGGAGGGGGCCAAGGTGCAGGAGGTTCGTGGCCTACCAGGCCATGGCAGTGGTGAAGCTCTTGTTTCCATTCAGGAAGATCTTGCCCAACAACTAAAAGACAAATCCAATGTTCTTAAGGAAATCTCTGTTGCCTTACTTTCTCTGCCTCCTGAGGAGGCCATGAGAGATTGCCAGAAGCTCTTCAAGATATCTCAGAGCCTTTCATATCACTCGTGCATGGGAGACCTGGAGCGCTACTCCTCTTTGTTAGTTCAGGATGCAATAGTTCAGGCTCAGGTTTGTTACGCTGCTTGCAAGGTCCGCCTGGAGTATGAGAGAGAGCTGAAGTCGTACAAAGAGTCCTTGCAGAGCATGGATGCACTGTGCCAGGAGCGTGTGAAGACCGTCTCCCTGCTCCGGGATGAGTACGAAGAGCTGCTGAGGAAGCAGCAGGGTGAGTACAGTGAGGTGATCGCCATGCTGGAGCGGGAGAACGCTGATCTCAAAGCCAAGGTCTCCCAGCTCGAAGGTCAGCGGAGGCTTTTAGAAGAGGAGGAGCACAAACACAGCAAAACTTTGAGCGAGTTGCAGGGCCGCTACGAGGAGGAGATTCGGAATGTGATTGAGCAGCTGAACAGGACGGAGGATGCTCTGAAGGCTGAGAGGACGGAGGGCCTCAACCAGCTGGACGCCATCGTCCGCGACAAGCAGGACATGGAGCGCTACCACCTGGAGCAGATGCAGATGCTGGAGGACAAGTTCCAGGCCAAGATCAAGGAGCTGCAGGCCATTCACGGCGAGGAGCTGCAAGCTCTGCAGGAGCACTACAGCCAGAACCTGCAGCGCCTGCAGCACGCCCTTGACGAATACCAGCAGCAGCACCCAGATGCGGTCCCTGCGGTGGGGCCGGGCGGTGGGGATGGCTGGGGGGCCGGGGAGCCGGGTGGCACCAGGCAGGGACCCAGCAGGGACCTGGACTCCATGCACGGCCTGCGGGAACGCATCCAGGAGCTGGAGGCCCAGATGAACGTGATGAGGGATGAGCTGGAGAACAAGCACCTGGAGGGCAGCGCTTCCATGCTGAGGGAAAAGTACCAGAAAGACTTTGAGAACCTAAAGGTTTTACCGCGTTTCGTGCTTTATGGTATCTCCCTCTGAGCGTACTGGGAGGGTGCATTCAGTCCTAGTGTTTGCCTGGCCTAGGGGCATCCCCTGTGCAGGGCATCACTTCTAAGCAAGCCCCAGAATGCTAAAAAAAGGCCTCTGTAGAGCATGGTGTTTTATCCACGCTTCCTTTCATCTGTGCTGGGGTATTCTAAATGCATTGCTGAGCAGGAGGGGGGAAAGGTACTGGAGGGAGGCTCAGCATCACGGCTGCTGGAGGTGTAGATGGAAGGAGGGTTTCAAAATAGCTCCATGCTATCAGGCTCTCCTTCAGTTTGAGCACTGTAGTGTTTCTCCTCGTGCCCGAGGCACACTGTTTGTTTGTGTCTTCCCTTCAGAAGCATTCCTGAACTCTGTCCTTCCCAGTCTGATCAAATCTCCAGTCTGTCTCTGCTGCCCTCAGAAACATGAGGTGAGGTGGAAACCTGTGCTCTCCTGCTGTACCTTCCCACAGAAGGATGCCAAGTTCTGTAGCAAAGCAATCTCCTCTACAGAGGGAGGTCACTGGTGGTGTGTGCCAGCAATTCGTAACATAACAAACAGTGCACAGTTACTGGAACCCCAGATTTAGGTGCAGAAAGCCCAGAGTGCCTTCCTTTGGATTGGTCCAGCACTCGGGGTTGGTTGTGGAACCAGTCTTGTAGAGATGGTTCTTCTGAGCCAGATGGAGGGTGTAGTGTCAGTAACACTAGGTACTGGTTTGTACGTGTTCTCATGTGCTGGATTTATAGCAATGCATTTACAATACGTGAATTACGGAGTCTCCCACCCTGTGGAGGAGCACCCAACCTTTTCCTCCAGTGTTAAAGGAGTAATGAAGAATCTTGCAAGCCAAGTCCAGACAGCTTCTGGCACTGAGCTGTGAGTTTCAGAAAAGAGAGCTGAAGTGAAAAAGGAAAAACTCCTCCAGACTAAAACATAAAGGGGTGGAAAAAGGCACTCAGCTGAAAGCTGAGGAGGGGAGTGACACAGGTTACGTAGAACTACATAACAGAGTGGTGGTGCATAGAATGTTCATTAGTGTAGGTCAGTAGTTGTTATGTTTTTGTCACTTGGGGAGTGAATTTGTTCCCCCTTAAATCACCCATGGAGTCCCAGTGGCTCCCAGGGGGCAGTTCTACTGTCTTCAGAAATGAAAGAGAAGCCCACGTGGGGCTGGAACCCTCCCCCCCCCTGGGTCTGACATCTGCCCTGGGGAGTTCAGGGCCAGCAGTGTGGGTTTCTGCTGCCCCACTGCCATCATAGTGCCTGGGGTGTAATATTTGCCTCCTACAAGGCCATGAGCAGGATCTGGGCAGGAAATCCACGTGGGATTTGAGCATTCACAGCAGGCTATTCCCAAATCCCCTGAGTGCTGCTCCCTATTTCCTGGCCTAAACTCAATCCTAGTCATTGAATTAGGAAATCATTTCCCATGCAACATTTCAAATGATGCTCACTTGTGAATTAAGGTCCATTGCTGTTATGAGCCATCTGCTTTCCACCCAAAGGTGACCACATATGGAAGCATGGATTGCAGAGGAGAGCAGAAGGGGCGCAGCAAGCTTTTTTGCTGTTTCAGCATGTTTGCGTTCCCTGAATGCTTCTGACCCCAGGCCTATCCCTGCCCTTCCACTGTCAGGGGTTGAGGACAAACCCTGACCTTCTGAGCTCCATCCTCAGCTGGCTGCTGTGTGGATGGGGAGGGAGAAGACCCCAGGATGGCAGCCAGGCGCCCTCCACCCACTGTCATGCTGCTCCCAGTTCAACTCCATCCCCTCATCCCTCTTGCAGGCAACATGTGAGAGGGGCTTTGCAGCCATGGAGGAGACACACCAGAAGAAGATCGAGGACCTGCAGCGGCAGCACCAGCGGGAGCTGGAGAAGCTGCGGGAGGAGAAGGACCGCCTGCTGGCAGAGGAAACAGCTGCCACCATTTCAGGTATGGGGACAGCCGTGTGCTGATGGGGGAGGGTGTTTGCTCCAGGGTGGAGGAGCAGCACAGGGGTGGGACGAAGGCTGGACAGTGATCAGAGGGAGACAAGGAAGCGCTGGTGTTTTGGATGGAGTTCCATCTTCTGGTTCTTCTCCAGGCTTGGTATGCATCTCACTGCCTGTAACAGCGTGTGATCGCTTTTCTGTTCCATCTCAGAAAGGCATTAACCATTCATTGCTGCTCCCACAACAAATTCCTTGTTCGGTGCTGTTGGGAGTTTTAAAGCACTCAGGCTCAGCATCTCTGCATTAGGAGTCCTGCAATTCAGGAAACAATGTGTGAATTGGTCAATTTCTTGGACTTCACTGAACGGTGGAATTTGCAGAGCCCTTTGCCACACTGGGATGAAGGGACTGCAGAGCAGTGGGGTGGCTGGCTGGGCTGACTCTGTTTATTGTTCCTGTAAGAAAACAAACCAAAGAGGCCCTCTCCAACTGTGCTCTTTGGGCACTGCAATGCCAGGCATTAATGCTGTGCCACCCCTGCAGCCATTGAAGCCATGAAGAACGCGCACCGGGAGGAGTTGGAGCGAGAGCTGGAGAAGTCGCAGCGCTCACAGATCAGCAGCGTTAACGCCGACATCGAGGCCCTCCGGAGGCAGTATCTGTAAGGCTGGCTGGGGTGGCTGTCTTTCATGGTGGGGTCAGGCATCTGGGAGGCCCCTGGCTCCTCTGTGATTTTTGGCAATGAGTTGGAGTCAAGTTGGCCTTCACAGGGGCTTCTTCCGTCAGTCCCAGCTGCAACCATAGGTTCTGGGTGCACCCAGGTGCACCATAGGTTCGTGTGTGCAAATGGTTGCCTTTAATTTGGGTGTTTCAGGGGCTCAGTGTCTCCACACGACCCAGTGGCAGCAGCTTTATGGTCACCAAATGTGCAGAGGTGATGCTGCTTTTCTTGCTGCTGTTACATGAGGACAGCTGGGCCACATCTGACCAGGCAGGGCCAAAGTACTGAAGCCAACCAAAATGGTCAAGTAGCTTTGTGAACTCTGATGCATCTACGTTAGGTGTGTGGGGGTGTGCAGGCTTGATAGGTCTCAGCCCCAGTTTTGTAAACTTGCTCACCATTTAACCTCCAGGAAGAAGACCTCCTCTGAGTTGGTGGCCAGGTACCAGTGTGCCAGGGAGGGAAGGGTTGGCTTGCTCTGCACTCCAGGTTTTTCCCGAAGGGAGCACACAGATCCCTGTCCTCAGTCCTTAGGTTGTGCTGGACGGCGGTGGGGTGCTAGAGGAAGAGCAGGAACGCGTGTGCAAATGGTCAACGTCTCTTTGGCAGGGAGGAGCTGCAGTCGGTGCAGCGGGAGCTGGAGGTGCTGTCAGAGCAGTATTCACAGAAGTGCTTGGAGAACGCCCACCTGGCGCAGGCGCTGGAGGCTGAGAGGCAGGCCCTCCGCCAGTGCCAGCGGGAGAACCAGGAGCTCAACGCCCACAACCAGGTGAGGGCAGGGGGAGCCGGGAGGGTGGGGATCGGCATGGTTTGGTTGGACGTGGTGATATTAGAGGCTTTCTCTAGTGTTAATGATTCTATGGTTCCATGTCATCATGGCATCATGTCTTTGCTGCCCCAAGCTGGCTTCCTTGTGTCCAGTTGGGGTTTGTGATAAAAGATGCCCGTGAATGGCTCCATAAGGCAACAGAGAAGGCCCTAAGTGGGGCCAAGGAGATGTCACCATCTCTCTGCTGAGCCCTGGCTCATCCTGCAACATCTCCCCCTCTTCCAGGAGCTGAATAACCGCCTGGCTGCGGAGATCACGCGGTTGCGGACCTTGCTGACCGGGGAGGGCGGAGGAGAGGCTGCTGGGTCGCCTCTCACCCGGGGCAAAGATGCCTACGAGCTGGAGGTGAGCACCTTGCGTTGGGTTACAGCGGGGCTTGGGGTCCCAGTTTCCCCATTTTGTACCAGGCAGTTTGGTTTTGTTGTCTGTGAAGGTCTTGGTGTTGTGGTGTGTGCAGGGTGCTATCACGCTGCTTCTGTCCTTCCAGGTCCTGCTGAGGGTCAAAGAGTCAGAAATCCAGTACCTGAAGCAGGAGATCAGCTCTCTCAAAGACGAGCTGCAGACGGCACTGAGGGTAATGTCGGCTGCAGGACTGCTGCTGCATATCCTAAGGGCTGTGCTTGTCTCCCCTCTGTGTGCTTAGATTCCAGCTTGCTTCCCCCCGGATTTAAAACAGCATTTCATTTTTGCCCTTAATTAAACTGAATACCTGTGTTGGTGTTGTCAACAAAGCCTCCCACAACTGTCAGCCCAGGACTTTTCCTTTCTTCCTTCTTGTGGGAAAACATTTCCCTCGAGTGTTTTTTCCCTGTGCCTGTCATATCAGAGATCTGAAATGGCAAAAATAATCAGTGTTAGAGACCTCCCAACATTGGATCTGGTCCGCTTTGGACCAGATGCTGGACTCTGAGCTTTCTGTGCATCTGGATTCCCGCATATCTGCTTGGTGCAGCTCTGAGCACGTGGCTGGCATCGCTGCCCGAGGCTCTGAAGTGCAGAGCAGGGGACAGAGCTCCTCGCTGGGTGAGCAGGGCTCTGCTCCTCCTCTGGCTGCTGGTGCTGAGCTGCTCCTCATGCATTCCCCTCAGTTCTGGCTGTCTGTCTTACACTCTCGGGTTGTTTTTGTTCCCTTGCCAGGATAAGAAATACGCCAGCGACAAGTACAAAGACATCTACACAGAGCTGAGCATTGTGAAGGCCAAGGCAGACTGTGATATCAGCAGGTTGAAAGAGCAGCTGAAAGCAGCCACAGAAGCTCAGGGAGAGAAATCCCCTGTGAACACCACTGTATCGGGATATGGTCAGTGCTCTTCCAGCCGCTCTGAGCCATCTTTGGGTTCCTGGTTTAGCGCGTGCATCCTGGTGTCTGAACCCTTGTGCAGTACTTGGTCTGAGCACAGGGCTTTGCGTGGTGCTTTTTTTGCCATTTCACGTTGGATCCCACCTCTGCTCCTTGTGGAAACCTCACTGGGGCAGCAAGAAGTGGGCAGCCCAAGCACCCCCTCTCCCCAACCCCCATCCTTCCAGCCTCAGGAGAGGAAGCTAGTGGATCTGAAAGCCCTTCTGCTACCTCCCACCAGGAGAGCCTTGTGTTGAGAGCCTCTTGCCCAGGCCTGGCTTGTTGGGATGCAGAGAAGCCCCCGTTCCTTGTAGGGGACACTGCACTAATGCTGTCATTTTGCTTCTCCCCAGATATTATGAAATCAAAAAGCAACCCTGATTTCTTGAAGAAAGACAGATCCAGTGTTAGCCGGCAACTAAGGAATATCAGGTCAAAGGTGAGCTCACAGCTCTTCCCCTGCAATGCAGGTGGCCAGCGTCACTCTCCGGTGGGGATTTAAGATGAGAAGAAATGGGAAGGAGAAGAAAATGGAGAATTTCCCAGTCACCAGTGCTAACCTGGATGGCAGCTGGGAGAGCACTGAGCTGGCGGATGGGATGTGGTTTGCAGAGCCCACTGCCCTGGAGTGCCCTGATGTGTAGGGATGGAGCTGCTCCTCGCCTGAAACAAAGACAAAGTTCACCTGTTCTTTGATCTTTCACAGGTGGACTGTCCCAGAATTTGCTCCCCATTGTCAGTTGAAGTTTAGGTGGTAGAAAAGCACACAGCATTCCGGGTTTTGCAGGGTTCATCACTGTAAGATTGTGGGTCTTTATGTGGAACAGTGATGTCTGGAAGCTGGGCATATTTAACACACGCTTTCCTTGTGTGTTAACACAGCACAGATGGCCCTGTGTTTTTCTGGCCCTTCTGTATTGCTGTTGGTCCCAGATGCCAATAATTCTGCCTGGTGCTCCTGCTTGGCATGCTGGCTGCCAGCATTGCACGCTGCCTGGTGCTGTGGGACCACAGAGATACGAAGGGCACACAGAGCTGCTCACAAAGCATCCTCACACGTGGGTCAGTCAGCAGGACGATCGACATGGGCACATTGCTTTGCCTCTCTCCCCCCAGGCAGTGGGGGTCTGATGCTGATGTTGGAAGTGGTTGGGACTTGGGGCAGAGTGAGAAGCCAGCAAGCAGAGGCTTCTAGCTTGGGAAGCAGCTGGCATGCAGCTCTGCAAGCAGCAGGTGTCAGCGTGGGGTGTCTGTGCTGCCTCGAGTCAGCAGGGAGCAGCTCGGGGCGCACCCAAACCTGCAAGCTTGCTGTCCCAAGTCCAAGGGTTGGTTCCCCATCACCACTTCAGCTCAGAGTACTTATCTTGCTGTGCTCCCATGTGCTGTTGGTAGGACCCCCGGGGAAGGAGGGCTGTGCCAGGGCACTCTGCCTGCTCGCATCGCTGCGTGGGGGGGGAGGGGGAGGCGGCTGGGCTGCGCGGACGCCAATGCCTGTAGGATTTATGAGCTTTTTGTTTTGTTTTCTTTATTTTGCTTTCTCCTCCAACAGTCCGTTATTGAGCAGGTCTCATGGGATAACTGAAATGAACCCGAGTCCAGGTTCCCTGCCACGTAGGTAATCACACCGGCACCCACCGAGCGGCACAGCTGCCCACTGGAGCGGCCCTCGTTGCATGCACTGCTCACACCTCCATGGCAAATGAGAGCCCTTCTCTTAATGACCCGTTGGTTCATCTGTGGTGAATGATAGTATGGGAGGAGGGGAGGAGCATTTTCTCTGCTCTTCCTGGGGAATATGGCTTTCTCACCTTTCTTTTCCTCCCACCCTCCCCAACACAGCAAACAGCACGGAGTGGATTTGGATGCAGTGGGGCACATTTTCCTGTTGGCTTTGTTGGGAGTGTGGGATGCTGAGTGTGCATGCTTGAGTTGACTGTGCACGCCTCAGACTAAACTTCAACACCACGGGGGTCCCATGGGAGAACCTTTTTGCTGTTAGCCAGGTGGAGGAGTGGATCAGTGCTGCCTGTAGATGCATTTCCCACTGAGGTCTGTAGTATGCAGTAGTGCTCCTGGGCTCAGCTGCAGAGGGGATTTTCAGGCTGCCCCCAGTTTTCTCTGTAGCTGCTGCTGTAGGTTGTTTGGGTGTTTCCTTGTCCAGTGACCTCGCGCTGCTCCCCAGTGTCCACCCACTGTTCATCACCACTTGGCACCACACATCCTACAGGATTCCAGGACCATCTAGCAGAATGGTAGGAAATGAGCATGATCCTAATGGCACAGACACTGAGGAACTGGAGCAGTAGTTAATTTTCCTGGCCCACGGTAAAGACTCAGGTTAGGGAATGATGAAGGGATAGTTGGGGAGCCTCAGGGGCTCTGGTGGAAGATCCCCTATCGCAGGCTTCACCCTGCATTACTCTCCCCTCATCAGTAGCTCACATTTCATTGTGAAATCCCTAAGGGCTGAATTTGCTGGAATCTGTACCGTGAGGCGGAACAGCCTAATGGCTTCTGGTGTCTGGTTCCATATAATTAGAAATCGAATGTGCAAACTGGAATGCATGGGTTGCTGCTCATTTAAACAGCCCAAAGCTGACTTTCTGCAGGAAGGGCATGCTCAGACTTGGGTCCTGAGAGGCTCTGCTGTCAACTGGAAACAAAGAATGCACTGTGTGAATGCAAAGTATTGCGATGCTTCGTTTCCATGCTGCTCCCCGATGCTGTTCTGTATTTGGAGCATGGGGGAGGAATGTTAAAAACAGTGATTATGAGAATGAGCACAGCTTCTTAGCACTGTGTCCTGCCTTGATAAACCCATGTTGGGCAAAACATGGCTCAGAAGTGCAAACTCTGTGATGACCAGGCAGTGCGGTCGAGGAAGTAGAGCAAGAGCCCCCTCTTCGTGGTTACCCATTAGTAGAAGGGTTTCCATGTGGGTCTGTGCCTGCTGGAGCTGCCATGTGCTGCAGAGTGGGTTGGTTGCAAGATGAGTGGTAAGGCTGCTGCAATTCTTGTGTTGTATCACCAGGAAATGGCAGCAGGATGGAGGGAGGGCTGACTGCCAGCCCTGCGTGGCTCCCTGGAGTGACTGCAGGTTAAATCTGTCCTATCAGGGCCAGATTTGTTTGCTGATAGGACTGCACCCCTCATATAACTCCTCTGTATTTCCAAGCTCAAGCAACAGCAGATTGTATTAACAGTGTTGCTGAAAGCTGGCAAGGCAGGGTTTGGTTGAATAGCTGCATTGAATCTGGATGCTGAATCTGCCATCACATCCTGCTGGACCCAAAGAAGTGAGCCCTGCGTCACCCCCTGTGGCAGGAAGGTTAGGGCTGGGGGATGAGAGGTGGCATTGGCACTGGTGACAAAATGCAGTTCTCGGGGCTGCTTGAGCAAAGTGCACAGGTGGAGCAGAGCCTGCCCCGTGCTGCAGCCCTGCAGGTATATGGCAGTGAGTCCTGGTCCCTGCGGGCTGTGGGATCGCGTCCCACCCGGAGCTCACCCCATTTCCAGCAGCATTAACCTCACTCATCTGCTTTGGTCCGTACCCGGTTAACCTGCACTCTCAGCTCTCTCCAGGCACCGTAACCACACCCCACGGCTGCTGTCTCCTCCAGCATGCCCCACTAATCTCTCTGGGATGGCCTCCCCCCCTGCTGCCCACATCCCCCCATCCGCGTGCCCCTTGCCGCCCGCCCCATCCCACCTCTTGTCTGTCTTTTTCTCCCTCCCAGAGCCTGAAGGAAGGCCTGACCGTGCAAGAACGCCTGAAGCTTTTTGAATCCAGGGACTTGAAGAACGACTAGCTCTCCCCGCTCCGCTTCACCACGCGCACCTCTCGGCTTGAGGCAGCACAGCACCAGCACCGTTCGTCCCACGCCGCTCACCGCCGTCCTCGCTGACGTTTGGCCCCACAGCTCCCTCACCACCCCCCTTTTCCCCACTTGTGAGACGCTTCTGAGACTCTTGAGAGGCAGAGGAAGGGATTGGGCTGTGGGTTTTGTGGGTTATTATTATTATTATTATTTTTTTTTTTTTCCCCTCTTCAGCGCTTTGTAGGAGAACCCTTCCTTTACTGTAAACCATTACACTAAGTGTCAGTATTAAGGCTCAGTAGCCTGTGAATAAGCTAGCTCCGTCGTACCAACGGCTTGGTATGCACGCAGGGCTGGGTGGCGGGGGCCATCCCTCTTACTACTGTCACGAGCCCCCAGTGCTCAGAGCACACCGGGAGCTTCATTTGCCGTTGATTGCGTCGACTGCATCACTTGCACCTGCAATAGGGGAAAGCCTGTGGGATGCTGCCGGGGTGCCTGGAGGAGCCACACCTGGCTGGCAGAGGACACAGTGCCCGGGCACCAGCATTGGGTAGGGGCTGCTGTGGGCACCTGGTGCGCAGGGGAGGGGGGGAAGCGTTCCTGGGGCCGAGCTGTGAGGTCACTTCTTGCCTCTCCTAGATCCAGCCCAGCACTGGTTTGTTGTTTTTTTTTTGCTGTTACTCCCTTCCTCTCATTGAGTCCCGTGTACGTTAGGGTCTGTGCGCATGTGAAACTCCCTTTTCCTAGTCCAAGGAAAGTAGAGTAGAAAGTAGAGCCAATATTGACTGAAAATGCACAGTGCTCAATGCATATAATGCTCCTTTTTTATCAGCTTCTTGAACTCAACTCTTCCTGTCAGCAGGGCAGCTCCTATTTTAATTCGTTTATCTTTTCCTGAAATAAAAGTCTGAAAACCAGCCTGTGTTTCAGACCTGCTCAGTCACAGCAGCTTCTGTATGCGGAGCAGGCGGTGCCACGAGGTCCATAGGTGAGTGCAGAGCTCGGTGCTGGCTGCAGGAGCATCTCCACATGCTTCGTGCACCTACACAGCCCCAGCTGTGTGTGGGGTGAATCATTGCCCCATTGCTCCCCAGTCTGACATGGCCGCGTCACTTTGGATTTCGGGAGATTTTTAGGTGGAGCTGAGCTGTTCCTTGACTTCTCTGTGCTCACCTGAGGCAGAAGCAGGTGTGTGCTAATTTGAGTCTCTTTGGGCATGGTGTGTGGCCAGCTGGGAGGTCCATCTGCAAGGATAGAGCTCTCACTGAGTGCTCCAGCAGTGCCACCAGGCATACAGAGATGTTCTGCGCTGCGCCTCCATACCTGGCTGTGTGTGGGAATCCTGGAGATGGCAGCAGGGATCCTCAGCCACTCGGATATGAAGGCTCTTCCCTCTCCAGCAGGTGTCCGCCCTCTCAGATGTTCCGCTGTGCAGCCTCACCCCAACCTGAGCTCACCGTAGTGTTCTCCATCATCCAAGCACTGGAGGAGCCTTGGTAGCCCAAGCCTGGAAGAGGAACTTGGTGATCAGGTGTGTGCACAGGGCCTCTGCCAGCATCTTGTGTGACTGCAGGCTGGGTTTGGTGGCACTGGCTGGCTTGCACGGGCTTTGCTCTGCTCTTGGGATGCTTCCTTGCCCCGTGATCTCCTGGCACATGGAGCGAGGATGGTACATGGCGTCATCACTGTCATCACTGTCACCACTCATCTCTCCCAAGGCTGCACTGGATACAGGAGAATGCCTTCCTCCTCTCAAGAAGCACAGTAGGACTTTGTCCTTCTCAGCCACCTGAGCAGAATGTGCTGATCTCCCTCTTGCTATGTGGACTCCAACCATTCTTATGTTCCCCTGGAAAGCCTTGCTTTACTTTGCTGACTTTGTTATTTTAACCACGAGCACCACAAGGTCCACAGCTTGCTATTTCGCTGCACAGCACGTGGGAGCTGTGCAGGATGGGCACTGACTGATGCCACTGAGCACTGTAACTCCCTAAGAGAGGATGCTGCCTGCTGCACATGTGGTTGTACCCAGCTCTGGCTGTCATGCCTGGTGTCAGAGAACCATCTGCTTTCTTTGCCCAAATGGGAGCTTTCACCCTTATTCCTTAAGGCAGAGAATGGTGGATGTGGTGCAGCTACGTGGGTGCTGCAGGAGGTGTAACCCAGTGCAGGGAGACCAGTGCCAAATGGACTGACCACAGCTTTTGGCTCAGCACACATCATTGTGTTCGTGTGGTTTGTGAAAACAGGTGGCGAAGGGCTAAAAGGTGCTGCAGTGGAGATGGAATTGGGATTTGCTGGGGTTACTGCTACTGGGGAAGCTTGACTTAATGCACAGCTGCTCCAGCCCTTCAGGGAGCTGATGGAAATGCCCTTCCCTGAGTTCTAAAATACCATGAAGCAAATAGGGGATGCTGTACCTTCCTGCAGCAGCACCATCTGCTGGGGGTGAGCATCCCTTAAATGGGAACAAAACAGGAGCACCGCACAGCTGCACAGCAGGAGCAGCCTGGGGCAGGGCCTGGGCCCTCCCCTGGCCTCTCTCCAAAGCTGGTGGCAGCCCTCAGCCTCAGCGAGAGAGAGGGGAAGGGCAGCTCCAACGGACAGTGGGGAATGGGGTGATGACTGCGGAGAGAACAAAGCTGGCCAGAAAGGTGATGGCAGTGATCCGGTGTTGTCCCGCTTCTTCTCTCCTGCTCTGGGCATCATTCATCCTCTTGCCACTGAAGTGACACAGCTGCAGGTGCAGACAGTGCCTGTAAGAGATACTAGGACTTATTTTCATCTTCTGCATAAAATCCTCCTGCCCTCAGCACTGTAGCACAGCTCACAGCTGCTGCATTTCTGTGCTGCCGACGCAGAGCTGTTTGCTGCGACCACTTATGCACACAGCACGGCTTGCTTTGCCTTTCCTCTTCCCCATCCTCTTTTTTAAAAGCAAAAACGCTTTGTTACTCTCTTTTGAACGTAAATAATTTAAAAGCTGTATAGTATTCCAAGTACGCAATGTAAATATTTGTGACTCAGAAATCAGCAGAGGGCTCTCGTTTGTGACAGCGTTACGGTTTTGATGTCACTGGCTGGGTGAGAGCCGTCACCCCCTGCCTGCCTGCCCCGACGGGCTCTGCTTTGCACTGTTAGAAGTAGCTTCTCACGCCTTTTCTGCTGCTCTGCCCTTGAGTTTCGATGATACCTGTCTGAAGAATGCACACAGTCGGTTTGAGAACTGTAACTTTACTGTGCCGTAAACTTCTTTCTACCCTTGAACTGAATGGCTCCACCACGGAGCAGAGCAAAGCGCCGCGTGGGGCAGCGCATGCAGTGCTGCATTTGGGCTGTGTGCAGGTGCTGTGCAAGGCAGCAGGGGTTCTGCCAGGAAGGACAGCTCATCCTGCATGGACACAGCCTGCAGCACATCACTGCCCAAATGCTGAGTGCACCAGCGCACAGTGCTGCACGCAGCCCCACAGCAGGGGATGCAGAAATGCAGTGAGTGAGGACAGGGCAGGGAGGGGAGGCTCACCTCACAGCTGCAACTTTGAGACAACTGAAAGAAGGCAGGGGTGCAGAAGCTGCTGGCAGAAACCTGATAAGCCCATCAAGGTGGTAGCAACTGAAGGCAGCCAGCTGGCCGTGAGCTGGCAAGTAATTAGTGCAATTATAAACAATTGTTTTCTCATTCTTCCTTCTTTACACATTGACAGTGCACAGGATGTGACAAGAACACTAACTCTATGTTCTAAACCAGAGAGAGCAAAGTAAGTTGCAAGATGCTAAAGGTGATGGCAGGTAGGCGATAGATCAGAGCGCACAGCCCTTGACCCTTTCCTGGGACCTGGCGATGTGGATGGCTCCAGATTGTAAAGAATCAGTTATTTGAAGGGATAAGGATTTGGGGAGAGAGAAAGGAATGCTGCAAGTCTTTGGGTGGCATCAGCAGTGGTCAGCACTGGTGGTGCACAGCATAAGCCACTGCCCAAACCGCAGCTGCAGGACTCCTGCGTTGCAACACATGGTGCATCTGCCCTTGTACTGAGAGCTCTGTGCTCCTAATGGAAACGATGAGGGGCTGTGAGCAGGAGCTGAGCACAAGATTACATGCCCAGACGCAGCAGCCGGCCCCCCCCCACTAACCTGCATTTGGCAGCAGCGATGCTGCAGCATGCACACAGCACCTGTGCAGGTGGGGACACTGCTGCTGGCAAACCTGCGGCTGGAGCCCAGCACAGGAGGCCAGGGAGTACAGCCGTGCTGCAGCTCTGGCTGTATGCAGCCCCAAGGGCCTCTCTTGCATCAGATCCATCCAGGAAACGATGCATCGCACGTGATTCCATTCCCTCTGCCAGGGGCTCCCGCTTCTCTGTGTGCACGAGTTCCTCGCCTCTTCCCTCCTCCTCTCTTCCACTCCTGTTTTATTCACTGCTTTTCGAGGAATCTCTGTTCCTGGTAACTGTTCTCTGTAATAGAAACATCACTTTTTTGTCACTGTATTTATTCCTAATACAGCCGTGTGCGTCATGCTAGGTTCCCGTGGATGTAGCTGATCATTTTTATTTTGTAAATATAATTACCTAACTTTACGTAAACGATATCCTAATAAACTATTTTTGCACCACCCTTTGCATGCTGTCAGTGCAGCCTGTATTTGTTCCAACGACGAAACGACGCAAAGAAAGCAGGAGGCAGAGCCTGAACAGGGCGAGCTGTCTGCTTTTATAGTTACATTTCACAAAGAAAACACAACAAGTATGATTTTAACAATAAAATACTTAAAGGAGCATGTATTTAAACCTGCTGAACCAGACTTACTACAGAATAAACCGCCTCAGCTCCTCCCCCAGCTGCTACATCACAGATATAATGCATGGTTTTGTCTCCCCACACCCACGCCAACTCTCTCCAACACAACAAAACAAACCCTCAATCTGATGGTGTTACCCCCACATCCTAAACAATACCCTATGGATCTCCAGGAACTTGTATTGATTTGGATCTCGGAACCAAGCAACCCGCCAGTGCAAAACACTCCAGGTGATGTGGAGTTTGTCTGAGAAGTGGCACGTTAACACTGCGAGGTGCAGCATTTGTAGGGAGCAGTTTAAGCTCTAACTGGATCAGCACACACAGCTGCACTAAAAGTTGCAGGCAATGCTGCAAGTTACACTGCAGCTGCAGTTGCTCTTCAGACGAGGCCAACTGTGCCCACAGAACAGCTTCAGTTCTTTCTGGGGACTCCCTGCACTGCACTGCAGGAAGATGAGCTGGCACTGCTACCTGCTCTCACACATTGACACTGGAACTCTACTAACCTCAAACCAGAGGAAACTCATACCCAAACCAAAACTTCCTATTTCCCAGATTTCCTTTCACAAACTGTCAATAATTCACGCAAACAAAAGAACAACCACAGTGACATCTCCACCTACACAGCCCCCAGTTTTGCTGCAGCCCTCACAATCCTCCTTTCAGGGTACAGCTCCATCCCACAGCACCACGAGCTGGAGAACGCCCAGCTCCCTGCACAAGTCCTGAGCGCAGCTCAAACCTCACCTCCCCCATTGCAGGGCACAGCCACCAGCCTGCCCACAGCACCATTGCTCGTGTCCTCACAGAGCCCATCAGCTGGGTCATCACTGCTCGTTTAGCACACGAGGCACCTGTGGCAGTTTAGGGTGGAGAGCACTTCAGCTCAGGAGGAACTTAACGAAATTACAACCAGATGGGTAATACATCGATGGCTATAGATAATAATAAACCCCCCGAGTGCCACCTGTTCCACGCTCCTCCAGCTCAGGGAAGCCACTTAATCATTTTCTTTGGGAAAAAAACGTGTAGTTGCTAGGGTTGCACTCTTCCCAAATCCTTTCAAACTCATCCAGAAAAGGCTGCACGTACTCCATGTCCTCCATGATCACCA